ACACTTCCCTGCCGCCGTTCTTCATCCTCGTGTACGTCGACGACTTGGTCTTTGCCAGAGCAGACACTGCTGGACTCGCCTACGTGAAGTCCGAGCTGCTGAAGAGACACACGTGCACAGACCTGGGTGAACTGCGCAGCTACCTTGGCTTGCAGATCACTCGGGACAGAGCACGCCGCACCATTACCTTGACTCAGTCACACATGGTGCAGCAGGTCCTTCAGCGCTTCGGCTTCACGTACTCCTCGCCTCAGGCCACTCCTCTGCCTACTCGCCACTCACTCTCAGCTCTGCCTTCGGATGAGTCCGTAGAGTCGAGTGGTCCGTATGCAGAGCTTGTTGGCTGCCTCATGTACCTGATGACCTGCACACGACCTGACCTTGCATACCCTCTGAGCATTCTTGCTCGCTATGTTGCTCCTGGGAGACACAGACCGGAGCACATGGCTGCAGCGAAGAGGGTATTGCGCTACCTGTGCAGCACGTCGGGCATGGGGCTAGTGCTTGGAGGGCGGAGTCCAGTGGTCCTTACCGGCCACGCGGACGCTTCTTGGGCTGACGACCAGGCTACGCAGCGGTCGTCACAGGGTTACACCTTCAGCCTTGGTTCCGGCTCTGTCTCGTGGCGGTCTACTCGCTCGTCTTCGGTTCTCGGCTCCAGTTGTGAGGCTGAGATCTACGCCGGGGCCATGGCTGCACAGGAGCTTCGCTGGCTCACCTACCTGCTGACTGACCTTGGAGAGCCGCCTCGTTCTCCTCCAGTGCTGTACGTAGACAACAAGGCCATGCTGGCCTTGTGTCGAGAGCAGCGCTTGGAGCACAGAACGAAGCACATTGCTCTCCGCTACTTCCTTGCTCATGAGCTGCAGCAGCGTGGTCAGTTGCGACTTGCGTACGTGGCCTCTGAGGCCAACACTGCTGATGTGTTCACCAAGGCACTCGCTCCTTGTGACCATCAGCGCTTTTGCACCCAGCTGGGTCTTGTGCCTGTCTTGCCTCACTTGCTCTCCTCTTGACTTCACTTGTACTGTGACATATATATATGCCTGCTCTTGCTTGTCTAGTTTTATATATATGTCTGTACTCCTGCATGTGAACTGGCCTCTGGCCCTACTCTTGTGCTCGGACTGTGTGGTGACTTTGTGATCCACCCTGAGCTTGCTCTGCTTTGCTTGACTGGTCTTGTGACCCCTTGTTCTCCCCCACTTTGCCTATGGGGGTGTGTCAGATTTATATGACATAGTTGCTGTAGGCTATAGTGGGGTAGCACATATGGGGTACAGGGTTTCTAGGGTTGTATTTGTACCCAATCTTTCCTTAGTCATTTCATTCCTGTTTTCCTTGCTTCACATGCACATCAACATGCATAGTGGACGAAGCTACATCGAGGGAGCTTGACCTGGCTTGCATGCTGTGGAACCAACGATAAAACGCTGTTTACAAACGAAGGGACTGGAATGGTGGCGGAGGTCTGTATGGATGTCCTGCCATGAGAATTTCGAGGTACTTTTGGGGGTCGAAGACGAGCTCCAAGCACATATCAACTCCCCCTCTTTTTGGCGATCAATCGTGCAATATGATCCGCCACCGCAATGAAATCCTGCGTAATTTAATAACAACTTGTCAAAACCTTCTCAAACCTCGTCAAAAAACGACCTGCGCAGAATCAATCACCAAATGAGTTTGATAAGGTTGAAGTGGGGAGCAGAGGAGGTGATCGATCAATCCTGTAATCCTGTCGCCCAAATTGTGTCTATACACTAGGTATATGCCCAAAAGGGTAAATTCCTAGGAGAATACGAAGTCCTCAATCTTGAACTAGAAATGAAGCTACCGGTTTCAGATGTGGTTAAGTTCCATTTCCTACCCGAAGCAGACTTTTCGAACCTCGGGGGGGCTTTGGATTCTAAGCACAAAGACAAGTCTTCAATGGACAACCAAATAGGGCCTCAGCTTCAGGGGTTTATGTCAGAATCGGAAGTTTTGGTTCATTGATGTTGGTTGGGGTACAAGTAGCAAAACCTAACATGTGTACCTCCTAAGACAAACCTCACTACAGGCTACCAACATTTGACACACCCCCATAGCCTAAGTGAGGGGTGTCTAGCAAAACCAAAAGAGTACGGTCATAAGACCAGTCACAAAGAAACAAAGCTCAGGGTGGATCACAACGTCACCACACACTCTGAGCACAAGCAACAATGGCCACAAGGCCAGTCCAAGCAATACCGTAACAGAGATATATAGAATGGGTACAAGCAAAGCAAACAGTGAACTCAAGACTAAGTAGGCCGAAAACCAGTGTCAACAAGGCCTAACTGCACACAACACCTGTGGTGGTCACAAGGCGGAAGCGCCTTGGTGAAGATGTCTGCAGTGTTGGCCTCAGACTCCACAAACTCGAAGCGAGTCTGTCCACGTCTCTGCAACTCTCGCAGAAGGAAGTACCTGACGTTAATGTGCTTCACTCTGCTCTCCAGTCGCGGCTCTTGACAAAGGAGAATCGATGCCTTGTTGTCAGTGAACAAGGTCGGTGCACAGCTCGGCCGCTCACCCAGGTCGGCGAGCAAGAACGTCAACCAACGCAGCTCTTGTGCCGCCATGGCACCAGCGTAGATCTCAGCCTCAGCTGTAGAGGTCGAGACCGAAGAGGAGCGCGTGGACCGCCAGGAAACAACTCCAGAACCCAGACTGAAACAGTACCCCTGAGTAGACCTGTGAGTCTCAGCGTCGTCAGCGTAAGAAGAGTCACAGTGACCAGTAAGTACAACAGACTGCTGCCCTCCAAGAACTAGCCCCACGCCTGATGTCGTCGCTAGGTACTTCGCCACCCTCATAGCTGCTGTCCAGTGAACAGGACGGTGTCTCCATGGCGGAACAAAGCGCGCAAGGATGCTAAGAGGGAAAGCGAGGTCCGTGCGAGTACAAGTCATCAGGTAGATGAGGCAATCCACAAGCTCTGCGTAGGGACCACTAGGCTCAAACGGCTCGTCAGGAAAGGGTCCAGTGAGTCTGTGGTCAACAGCAAGAGGTGTGCGCTGTACTGTGGACTGCTGAAGCTCGAACCGCTGAAGGACCTGCTGCACCATGTGTGACTGTAAGAGTATAATGCTGCGAGCAGCTCTGTCCCTGGTGATCTGCAGCCCAAGGTAATGGCGCAGCTCACCAAGTTCAGTGCACGTGTGTCTCTTCTGCAGTTCGGACTTCATGTCTGCCAAAGCAACCCTGTCAGCAGTGGCGAAAACTAGGTCGTCGACGTAAACCAGAACGAAGAACGGTGTGGAGCCACGGCGAACGAACAGCGACGGGTCGGCAGAAGATGGCTGGAACCCAAGGTCAGAGAGGGTAGAGCGGAGAGTGTCGTGCCACTCACGAGGGGCCTGGCGAAGACCGTAGACAGGTCGCCTCAGCCTCCACTGGGTCCCAGGCGGGAAAGTGCCAGTGAAGGCAGAGGGACGACGCAGAGAGAGTGTAACTTGTAGTCTCTCTGTGCTGCTACGTGCAGTAACACCCGAAGATTGGTCATCTTCGGGGTGGGCGCGAAGGTCTGAAAGTAGTCAACTCCCTCGCGCTAACTGAAACCTCTAACAACGTAGCGCGCCTTGAAGACTGGAGGAGATCCTGGTGGCCGCTTCACCCTGTAGATCCACATGCCATCGACTACGTTCGTCCCAGGGGGAGGAACCTCATCGACGTAGGTGCCTGTGGATCTGTAAGAGGCCATCTCTGCGTCCATGGCAGCTCTCCACTGAGAGGCCCAAGGCCCTGACACTGCCTCTGCGTAAGTGCGAGGAGTCGGAATGTCAAGGGCGTCGGGGTCACCCTCAGGGGTGAGGAGCATGGCACAGAGATGAGGGGAAGCGGCTGCCAGGAACTCTAGCTCAAACTTCCTGTCCTCTAGGACGTCACAGCCAAGGGCAGACACACCCCCGACGGCCAGAGGACTGGTAGGAGGAGCAGCCACAAGAGTGGTGGCGTAGTCAAGGCGGCGAGTAGAGGCAAACTCAGTGACCGTGGCAGTAAGAGCGGAGACAGAGGACAAAGAGGCACGAGGGTGGGTAACAAGAGAAGCGAGAACACGAGAGAGAACAGGACGGTACGTGCGGTAGTAGTCAGTGACAGGGGTAGAGAGAGAAGCTGTAAGGGCCGACTCAGGAGGAGAAGGAAGCACAGGAGGAGCCGAACGAGACGAACTAGAACGTAACAAGACAGTACGAAGGTCAGTGAAAGGAACAGGGGACGAGGGACGAGCACGAGGAGAGCAACGAGTAGCCCAAGTACGAGACGGAGGAGGAGAGGACAAAGGCGGAGAACTGGGGAAAACAGCGGGGGAGGAGTCAGGAGGAGGAAACGTGGGACCGTAGACAGGAGGAGAGGCGGAGGAGGGAGGAGAGGGAGAGGGGAGACCAAGGGTCCGAAGACCCGAGACAGGAGGAGGAAGTGGCTGCTGCTGCTGCTGCTGCTGTGGCCGGTGCTGCTGCTGCTGCTGCTGCGGCTGCGGCTGCGGCTGCTTCTAGGATTGCGGCTCCTGCGGCTCCAGCTGCTGCAGCTGCTGCTGCTGTTGCTGCTGCTGCTGCTGCTGCTGCTGCTCCTGCGGCTCCAGCTGCTGCTGCTGCCCCTCCAGCCGCTGTAACTCCCTCTCCTCTCTCTCCAACGCCAGCTGCTCCTCACGGGCACGGCGAACACGAGCCTGGTGCCTAGTCGGGTAGGGGTGGGGGGGCGGAGTAGTGTCCGGGGCAGCGGCAGCTTCAGAGTCCACCCCCGAAGGACCAGGCGCACCAACCCCAGAGGCAACACCAACACCAGCTCCAGACCCAGGCTCACCAGAACCCAAAGGAGGCGCACCCTCACCCCCAGACGGAGCACCCGCAGTGGCCGCGCGACCAGCACCAGCTCCCGGAAGACAAGAGTCCTCTGCACCCACCGGCTCAGCTCCAACTCCGGCACCCCCAGAACTAGAAATCGGTACAGGAACAGGCTCGGCACCAACCTCTCGAGAGCTAGCACCTGCGGCACGCTGCGAGGAGGACTGTGGGGAGGGAGGCTGTACCGGAGGGGCTACCGAAGGAGGAGGGGTAGCCTGGGAGACACCTGACGGGGCTGGACCAGGGGGGGGAGGCTGTACCGGGGGAGCAGGAGGGGGAGTGGCAGTCAGGAAGAGGGGGGGAGGAGGAACCGGGAGACCGTGATTGGGGTACCTGACGTAGTACGGGGTGGACTCCTCAAAACGGACGTCACGGGAGTCAAAGAACCGGTGAGAGGGAGGGTGGTAAAAGGTGAAGTCAGAGGAGTCCTCAGGGAAACCAAGGAAGACACAAGGAACGGCGCGAGGCGAGAGCTTGTCCGCAGAGGTGTCGCGGACAAGAGCCAAGCAACCCCAAACACGAAACCTCGACGCAACACCAGGGGACCCGGTCCAAAGACTGGTCGGCGAAGCCTCTGGCCAAGAGACGCGTGGCCAGAGGTTCAGCTGGTGCGCGGCGTATCGAACCACGTAAGGCCACAGAAAATGGGGGGCACGGGCGTGAGTCAGGGAGGTGCGGGCGATCTCCATGACCAAGCCTATGCGGCGCCCAGCAACCCCATTCTGCTGTGGGGACTCTGGAAGCGTCCAGGACTAAAGAATGCCCTGCTCGCGACAGAATCCAGCGAGAATGCTGGAGCGAAACTCACCCACGCGGTCGGAGTGAAGACAGCTGACACGAAGACCACGAGTGTCCGCGGTGGTGAGCAACCACCTGATCAGCGTAGAAGTCACCTCAGACTTCTTCGCCAGGGGGAACACCGTGGTGTAGCGGGAGTAGTCGTCAACGACCACCAGAAAGAAACGCTCACGCTCAGGGCCAAGGCGAGAGGCGGGGCCCCAGACGTCCAAGTGAAGCGTCTCAAACGGCTCGGTGGCCGGACGAAGGGAGGAGGAGTGAGGGGTGGCGCGCAGCCGACCCTCGACGCAAGGACCGCACGGTGGTGCAAGGGACGGCGGCAGCGACAGCAAGACACGCGGGAGACCTAAGACCAGACGCTGACTAGACATAGCGCGCAGACGTGGAAGAGAAGGGTGTCCCATCCGGTGGTGCCACAGAACGGTGGGGTGGGCAAGCGACTGGCAGGAGCAAGACGCAGCGACTGGACTAGACACGACTACCTGAGGGGACGTAACCACCTGGTGAGACGCAGGGAGGAGACTAGGGGGAGAGACAGGAACTGGGAGTAGGGGCTGCTACGACGGCGGCTGCTGCGGCTGCTGCTGCTGCGGCAGCGGCGGCGACTGCTGCGGCTGCTGCTGCTGGTGCTGCTGCCGTGCACGCGGGCCAGTGTGAAGAGTGTAGAGACCGGAGCCCGGCTCAGCAGCAAAGGTGGCCAGAGGCTGGTAAGAGTCCCCGTCAACACACACTGGAGTCTCCCTAGAAGGCTCAAACCACACACCCACGTGCTGACTCACGAGGGGTCGCACGCCCACCAAGTTCCGGGAGAACGAGGGGACATGAAACCCAGTGAGAGACCCGGAGGGAGCAACAAGACACGGCAAAGTGGTAGTGTGACGCGCAGTGACTGGTCCCAAGGTGGGATCAGCCAGCGCCACAGAGACAGGCGCAGGAAGTGGCGTAAGTGTCGTGCTGTCACGAAAGAAGCAGTGCGAGGCTCCGGAGTCCAGCGTGAAAGACTGTGAAGCGTCCTCCGAAGTAGCCGCTGGACTAGTGTCTACACAAGAACCTACACTAGCAACAGGCAACTGAGCAAGGCTAGCTCCTAAGCTAACAACACCAGAGTAAACAGAGTCAGAAACACTAGAGTCAACAACAACATACATAGCATGAGGAGTTCCAATCAGATCAGCTAACTGCTCGGCAGACATGTCCCACAGAGCGGAGCCGTAACGCTGAACAAGGGGAAACCAGTCAGGGGCAGGACCACCAACCCCGTAAACCAAACGAACCGTGTCAGTGAGCTGAGCAAAACACTGACCAGGGGGGTGAAGGCGGCCACAAGGGTGGCCCTGGCGAGCACCTGTCAGAACCTGATAGGCGCAGGAAGGGTAAACAGCACCACGCTGCGGGTGACGCGGCCCCGGCCCCGAAGCCAGCTGCGGCCGCTGCTGCTGCGGAGGCTGCTGGGAGGAGAGGGGCTGCTGCTGCTGCTGCTGCTGAAGCTGCTGCTGACGCTGGGCCCGGTACCACGCCGCTGCTCCACCCACCGGGGCTGGCAGCACAGGGGGCGACTGACGAACTCGTGCGTCGCCACCACCAGCAGTCGCAGTCACCGGTCGCTGCACGAGACGTCTCTCCAGGCCCTGCACTCCCACCACCACCAGTCGCAACGCCACCCCCACTACCTCCGCCTCCACCAACGCCGCCGCCAGCACCGCCCCTATTGCCACCCCTACTGCGGGACCGCAACGAAGTCGTAACAGCAGCTGCGGTCGCGTCAGTAGCGGCAGTGGCGAGAGAGGCAGTAAAGGTGGGCAACTGCGGGACTGTGCACCCGTGGAAGAGTGGGGGGGGCACAGCACCAGAGGCAGCGGCCACGGAGCGGAGGTTACTCTCGACGTCCTTGAGTGCAGACTCAAGGACGTCAACAGTGAGCTCACTAGGGTGCTTCAGGAGAAGCGCGTCACGAACGGAGGCAAGGCAGTCGGGGAGGCTAGTGGCGATAAAATAGATAGTAATTGCCATGGGAGGAGGAAGCAGTGCGAGCTGTGCCTCAGTGCAACAGGAGGAAAAGGCGGTCAAGAGAGACAGCAACAGGAGTGGAGTAGCGGGCCTTAATCGCATTCAGGTACTCAGCAGCAGTGCGAACCTGAGCAAAGTGAACCTCCTCAGACTCAGGGAGGAGGGTGCTGAGCGCGATGCAAGCCGCAGCGTCACGAGACGTCCAAGCTGTCAAGCCAGCGCGCTGGCTAGCAAAGAGGGCTCTAGTGGCGTCGTCAGGGGCAGGGCCTAAAGGCGTAGGGTCGGGGGGCGCAGGGAGGGCACCAGTAGCGTGCGCCCACAGGGTCTCGCCTGACTGGACCTGACTCTCTAACTGACGGCGAGCGCGTAGAAGCCAGAGCGAAAAGTCAAGGGGTCTACCGTCAGCGTCGAAACGAAGAACACGCGGAGTCGCCATATTTAAAACCGACGGAATAGCGGATGCAGTAGGAAAACGAGGTGGCGTGGCGACACTCGGTGGCGTGGCGGTCAACGCGGCACGCAAGCACGCAAGGAGAAAGGGAGGCACGGGCGCAGCGGGCGAGCGGGCGAAGGGACGCGGGGCGGGCGGATAGGCCTGGCGCGACGCGACGGGCAGGCGTTAAGGGCAGCCGCGCGGGGGGACGGCGCGACGCGACGAGCAGCGGGCGGGGGGGGGGGGGGGGGGGGGGGGGGGCGGGGGAACGCGACGCGACGGGCAGCGGGCGGGCGACGCGGGGCGACGAGCAGCGGGCGGGGGGTCGACGCGACGCGACGGGCAGCGGGCGGGAGGCGCGACGCTACGGGCAGCGAGGAGGGGGCGACGCGACGCGACGGGCAGCGGACGAGCAGTGGGGGGGCGACGCGACGCGACGGGCAGCGGGGGGAAAGCGCGACGCGACGGGCAGCGAGGGGGGGCGACGCTACGCGACGGGCAGCGGGGGGAGAGCGCGACTCGACGGGCAGGGAGGGAGAGCGCGACTCGACGGGCAGGGGGAGAGCGCGCTACGCAACACGGTAGGCAGGTCGGCGTAGCAGGCACTGACGAACGAGCGGAACGGGCAGAACGAGTGGAACGAGCGGAACGAGCGGAACGAGCGGAACAGGCTCGGGCGGAACGAACGTGAACGGGAGGAACGGGATCCTACAGGATCCTAACCTAGGTGATACCATATCAGAATCGGAAGTGTTGGTTCATTGATGTTGGTTGGGGTACAAGTAGCAAACCCTAACATGTGTACCCCCTAAGACAAACCTCACTACAGGCTACCAACATTTGACAGTTTACTGTACTTGTAGGTGGTCAGATTAGGTGACAGGAAACACCGTAATGTTCATTGTACTGTCAATAACTGTAAAATGCACTAGCTAAGGCTAACACATGACAGTCAAATCTGCATTGCTAAACAGGGAGGAAAGACCACACTACACCACACTATGTATGTACATTCCTGCCACCCACTGCTGCTGCACCAATATAGCTGGTTAAGGCTAGCCGCAACAGCAAGGGGCTGAAGAAGCATGACAAACTTGTCCTCGGCTAAGCGGCTATACGCTGCTTGCATAGACACTTTCTCCAAGGTAGGCAGCAACGAGGGTGTAATATTGGGGGGCCCAGTTCATCCTGCATGTAGCCGGATCCCCAATCTCCTCGTCACAATGCCACCCACCTTTTATTCCCTTCACTTACACATGCACACAGTGCTCCCTTCATTCCCTTTCTCCCCCCCAGCTTCACGACCCACCCCCTTTCCCCCCCAACCATCTCATTCGCCACCGCTGCTGCAATCCGTCCCAAGAACCGCAATGCCCACCAAAGCAGCGCCAAGCAGCATATGCCTTCCTTCTGAAGCGGTCGGAAAAGGAGTGACCATCTGTGCACCACCATGCCTCCAGCTACCCTGGCCCTTTGAACTGCTTCTTCGGCCGCTGGGACGCCCTAAAACTGCTTCTTCGGCCGCTGGGACGCCCTAAAACTGCTTCTTCGGCCGCTGGGACGCCCTAAAACTGCTTCTTCGGCCGCTGGGACGCCCTAAAACTACTTCTTCGGCCGCTGGGACGCCCTAAAACTGCTTCTTCGGCCGCTGGGACGCCCTAAAACTGCTTCTTCGGCCGTTGGGACCGCCGCGGGCGCAGGTTGATCCCACTCGGATGAGGCGAAGCCTCCCCCACCACTGTGGCTGCTGCCACGTCATCCACTTGATCTGGTGCCACGTCATCAAACCCAGCAGCAGCAGCATCGATGCTACCGCCCCCCTGGCCACCCGCAACCCCAGCTGGCAGCAGTGCAGCCGGAGGCAGAGTGCCGTGCAGCATGGCAGGTGGTGGTGCTGCCTGCCTTGCTTGGCTGTTTGAAGGGCTCAAAGCTCGGCCCAGACCCGCAAGGCCTGCAGCCAGGTGCTTACTCCCCCACCACCCACTTCCACCACCTCGCCCTGTGCCAGCAGAGCCAGCTGCGGCAGCAGCTGCACGCTCATCTGCTGCTGCTCCCGTGCTGAACTCCCTCTCAGCGTCCACCATCTCGAACTCACTGCTCGCTCCACTCCCACCACTCGCCCCATCGCTCTCCCCACCGTCCCCATCCGAATCCGAGTCCACATTCCTGTACCGCACTGCCTGCCTCTGCACCCCCTCCCTCTGCTCGCTCCCCTGCTGCACCCTCTGCTCCTCCGCCTCTGCTTTCCGCCCATTATTGGGTGTTCCCTCTGTCTCCTCTCCCTGCAACCGTCTCTCATACCCCCCCTTCTGCACTCCCACTGCCGACCTCAGCTGCACCGCCTCCCCTCCGTACTGCTGCAGGTACTTCCTCCTCCCCCTCACCTCCTCCTGCTGCTCCTCCTCTCCCTTCCTACCCTCTGCTCCATCCGGCCTCTCACTCCTCAGGACCTCAACTTCGCTCTCCCTCCTCTCCCTTTCCTCCCGCCTCCCACTCCCGTCCATTCCTCGCAGTGCTGCTGACGCAGCAGCCTGTGCTGACAGGGACGCCAGGTAAGCAATGAGCTCCTCGAATCGAGCACCAGTGTATGCCACGCCAGCACGCCAACATTCCACAGCCATGTCCCTCCCCCGCTCCTCCAGGTGTGCCAGGTGGCGGTCAATGATTGGCTCGTGGCGGGTCAGCAGAGGTTGCAGCATCGACCCGTACACAATCTCTGTGCCCTGAGAGGGGGCGGACCGAGGCAAGGACGGGGTGGGGACGAAGGAGGGTGAGCCGACGACATGAGCAAGAAGGAAGGAAGGAGGGCGTGCCGAGGAGAGGCAGGGCCGCAGAGTGGAGAAGGAGCATGGCAGAGGTGGCAAACATGTGCAGGCGAATCGGCAAACGCGACAGAGGAGAAACGACAATCACGGAGGAACAGCGACACGTACGGCTACTGGACGGTTCAAGACAAGGCCCGGTGCTCACATGTGCGAGTGGGAAGCGGGAACCACAGAATGACCATCAATAAACTCGTAAACTCTACACCTGTCATTTAGCCACTGACCTGCGTGCAGGGGTGCCAGAGGTAGATGATAAAGGCGAGCTTGGCCTCGTGGTACAGCGGTATCCTGGTGGGGGGGCGCAAACACGCAGAAGGGCAACACGGCGCAGCAGCACGTGTTAGGCGCTCGATGTCCATGTCACACAGTCACACGCGTCACTTTCGCGGGCCTCATTGTCACATGCGTCACTGTCGTATGCCCCATGTGATCATTCTTAAGGAACACTTATGAGGGCAAGGACGCGGTGACCCGCGGCGTCAGCACTCACCAGTCCAGCAGCGGCGCGGCGAGACCCTCAAAAAGGGCCAGCAGCGATAGTAGCACCCTGAGGTGGGGAGCGGCGGAATGGGAGACGAATTGAAAAAGGGCGGTGATTAGTCGCATGGGGATGGGATGGAAGATGACGGCAGGATAGACATGGAACAACGGGCGAGGGATGACGAGGAAGTGAAAGGCGTCACGAAGAGAACGGAGCAAGGACGCGGAGGATCATAGGCAAGGAGGCGAGATGCTATGGCGCGGCTAACACGGCAAGTCTGAGGACAAGACGAGGCGTGCAGACCACACCAGCATATGGGGGAGGACGGTGCAGGCGGGGGTGGGGAGGACGGAGGGGACAGAGGGATCGACGGAAAGGCGTAGTGCAGCACGAGGGGAAGGCGCGGGATGCAGCACGAAGGGAAGGCGGAATGCGGCACGGACCAGAACTGGCAGAAGAAGAGGACCTCGTGCATGTCAGGTCGGCGTCGCTGCATGGCTTTGAAGCAGCGGTACGCCGGATACCCGTGCGCCGCCACCATGCTGCGAGGGGATAGCGAGAAAGAAGGATTCGGACGAGGCAAAGAAAAATGGTGTGAATTCGACAGCTCATGGCCACGATGGTGCGGCGCGCGGGATGGTTACTCGGCTGGAGCTTGAAGCGCAATGCCACAGTCGAAACGGCCACTATTATCGAATGCGACATGTCGATAAAGAAAGCAGGTGGTGGCGGAGGCAAAAACAATCCCGTGCATGGTACTCAAAACGTCGAATTGCTCTCGTCGTGGCAGCATCGGGGGCTGCTGGAGCCCTGGCACGTGAGCTGTAAGAGCAGTGAACGATGGCGTTGGGGTGTCGAGAGGCGAAGGTGGGTAGACGGTGTTCGTTCCTTGATACACCCAACGATGGGTAGAAGGAGGTTTGAAACGGCTAACACCACACGAACGAGCGGATTTCAACTAGGGTACATTGCTTTTACGAGAACGCGTCAGCGACGGTCGTCGCCGTTTTGTGCGAAGTTGGTTAATCCGGCACGTAAAACAGAGAGTTGATAAGCGTTAACAAAAACTCGAATCGCTTACGTGGCAGCTGTCAGAAGTGGTCTCGGCAGCATGTTGCACGACGACGCTAGCGACGATGCGACAGCCCGAAGGTAGATGTACGAGGAAATTTGACCGCTAGCGGAGCACGCAGATGATATCCAACGAAAAGCAACACCGCTGAACGGGAGTGAAGGCGACAGCGAAGAATCACGGCTCGCGGTCAAGTGCGTGAAGCTAGTAACCAACCGCAATATAAGCCTAATCCGTGCTGCAGCGCTTGAAGTTCAGCCTTTCCAGTGCATCAACTGAATGACTGAGCTAACAGAGCAGTAAGTACGAGCTACGAGCGATATACAAGAATTAGAATTGAGGGGAATACGGCTCTGCCTCAAATGGGCTATGGGATGGGATGATAGCCTTGAAGCTGCCGCAAAGCACAGAACCACTTCAGCGCGGGATTCCCCCCCCCCACGAAGGTCCAGCCCCGCCTGGTCATGTCACCTATGGGATGTTTTGCTGCTGGCGGCGGCGGAACCCGCTCCGCTGCAGCCACGGCGGAAGGAACAGAGGAAGAAGTGCGCGGGAACCCAACAAGCAGTGTTGTTGAGGGCAAGCGCTTCGAGAACTCGCATTGGCGGGAAAGCCAACGGTTGCAAACATCCCCGTAACAAGACAATCTGTAAGGAACACACTATTAGAGACTAACGACTACATTATTGCAACAGTTGTGAAATTCATTCATCCGCTCTCCCATAAAGATCACTGTAGATATTTGTCATTTTCAGATGTACTGTTTGATGAGATGAGGTTGATGAGTGCCGTCTCTGAGGTGAGAGATCAGGGAGAGACAGTAGTTTCATTTCCACCAGGATGCAGGCATCGCATTCGCACGAGCGGATGAAGTGCGGAAGTTGATTAAATAGAAGCAGTTGAACAGGGAGGGCAGCGCTAAGCGTGCAGGTGGTCATGCGCTTATTTGTGCAGTGCCGAAGGTGAGAGTGAAGTAGAACCAGTTGGGCAAGGAGGGAAGCACAAAGCGCGCATGCACATCAGCAGCAGTGGGAGTAACAGGGAAGGTGAGGGTGAAGTGATAACAGTTGAGCAGGGTGGGCAGGGCCAGGATGCTCATGCGCTCAACTCTTCAGCACATGCTTCCACACCAACACAAGAGGAGGCCTCAGTGGGTGCAGCGTGGAAGGAGAGAGTGAAGTAGAAGCAGTTGGGAAGGGAGGGCAGGGCGAGGCTGGCCATGGGATGGGCGAAGGGCATGCGGAAGGGGTTCAGTTGCACCTGCCAGGAGGTGGGGAGAGGAGAGGCTGGGAGGGGTAATGGGATGAATGATGAGAAGGATGGTGAGAGGAGAGGAGGGTGGTCAGGGAAAGGAGGGCAAGGGTGGACATGGGATGGGCGAAGGGCATGCGGAAGGGGTTCAGACGCACCTGCCACGGTGTGGAGAGAGGAGAAATGAGAGGGGTGGTGGGTTGAGTAAGAGCGGTGGGGATCAATCGCAAGGGGCAACAGAAGGGTTGGTGAGAGCCGCAGTGAGGAGTGGTGGTGGTGGTGGGAGGACAGAAAAATACAAATGTGCAGTCTGAGGAGTGGTGAGGGGTGCTACGGACCTCGGACATGAAGCATGAACTATATGGATTCGATAGGGGTTGAGGCTCACAAATAGGAGTTACCCTACTTGGGATTGGGTAACCAACCTTGGCCTACTTGGACTCCAAAGTGGTTTGGAGATTATTGGAACACCCATAATGTTGACTCACCTTTGACAAAAAGCTAATGAGAACCGTTACAATTTCTCAACCCAGCATACTGCTGGGTTCCAGAATGGTTGGACAGGTTCTCACTTTTCCTTCTCACAACCCAACCCAATCACTCACCTTCCCTCACACTGCCATTCATAACCACTCCTATTCCAATCCAATCTTATCAGCAATACTTCTTTCGAAGTTCCTTATCCTCTGGTTCCTAGCAGCATTCTTCTTGACACCCGTGACCCCCCTACCTCGCTGATGACAGGCTGCAGTACCGTGCCTTCTACAGACCCTCCCTTGCCACCCCCTCGCACCGCTCCTCCCTCCCTGCACCTTTGCACGTCAGCAGCCAGCGAGCAGAGCGCCTCGCGGGCTCTCTCTGCTGCCTCGTGGCTGTAGTCCGTGATCAGCGCCGGTATTCCGAGCTCCAGTATGAGGACCTGATGGGGTTTAGATAGAGGGGCGAGGCATGAGGGTCAAGCAAGCAGCTCTCTCTGCTGCCTCCCAGCTGTAATTCGTGATTAGTGCTGGCAGCCCGCTGCGCAGCATGAGGACCTGACGGGAAGCAGACATGGGGCAAGAGGGAGAAGAGAAGGCAGCATAATAATGTGCGGATGGGGATGGAGCAGGTGGTGCAGCCCCCCCCGTCTCCACATGCCTTGAGCGTCTCCCTGGCTCCCTGGCTCTCTCTGCTGCCTCGTGTCTGTTGGTCGTGATGAGCGCTGGCAACCCAACATGAGGGCCTAACAGGAGAAGCGGGACAGGGCAGCCCGATGCTGCGAGGGCTGGCTGTGGCCCCTGTGGCGCCTCCCTTACTCGCTGTGCTGCCTCGTGGCTTTAGCCCGTGACCAGCGCTGGCAGCCTTTGATACACCATGCGGAGCTGGGGGCAGAGGGAAAAGGCAGAACAATGATTTGAGGAGCGGGTGGTGCAGCCATCGTTCATGCGTCGCGTCTGAGAGTCCATGATGAGCGCTCGCAGCCGTGCTGCAGCATGAGGGTCTGGCGGGGGGCAGACAGGGGGCGGAGGGAAGAGGCAGCACGGCAGTGTGATGGGAGGACTGGACGGAAAGGGTGGTGCAGGTGCAGATTCCCTTCATCCCTGGTGGTTGTGATCGCTGCACCAGGGAGCACTGATGAGTGCTGGCAGTCCAGTGCATAGAGGAGGATGTGCGATGTGAGGACTTGGAGGAAATGGAACGTTCAGCCCTCCAAGATGCCTTGTTGTGGCAGCCCGTGGTGCAGCATGAGGGCATGGCGGGAGGCAGGAGTGGGGAAGCAGTGGGGCAGCAGTGGGACAGCAGTGGGGCAGCAGTGGGGCAGCAGTGGGGAAGCAGTGGGGCAGCAGTGGGGCAGCAGTGGGGCAGCAGTGGGGCAGCAGTGGGGCAGCAGTGGGGCAGCAGTGGGGCAGCAGTGGGGCAGACGTGGGGCAGCAGTGGGGCAGCAGTGGGGCAGCAGTGGGGCAGCAGTGGGGCAGCAGTGGGGCAGCAGTGGGGCAGACGTGAGGCAGCAGGGTGGTGTGACATGAGGAATGGGACGGAGTGGGTGGTGAAGACGGGAGTGAACCCTCCGGCATATCTTGAGGCTGAATCTGATTGGCAGCATGAGGACTGGCAGGCAGGGAAGGGCAGGGAGGATTGGGCCACAGACCAGCACGAGACTGTGAAGGCAAGGAGTGTCGGAGGGGCAATGAAGGACGTAATTCGTGGGAGACGGAGGGGATGAGAGCAGAAGAGGAGGTGGCAGCATAAGAGAAGCACTTTCATCCCCATCTCCTGTGATGCATTCAGCTGCCTGCTTCGCCCCTTTTTCCTCCTTCCAAGTGTGCATCTCACCTCACCCACCCAGCCCCCCTCCCTCCAACTTATCCTCTCACTCACCACATTTCACTCACCAGCGTGTCTCGCCAGGAGGGGAAGGCAGGCAGGCCCGCGTTGGGAAGGAACAGCAGCGTGGGGCAGTGGCATGAGTGTGGCTGATGGGTGCACTGGTGGGAATGTGGGCGACGTGGGGTGCTGTGATGGAAAGGGGATGGGTGCTGAGGGCAATGCGGCGAGGTGCAGGGGAGCGGCGAGCAGGCAAGGGAGGGTAGCACGTGGTGATAGAGGCCTCGATGGAAGTGCACTGCCACGCCTGCTGTACCGCCTGCTGCACCGCCTGCTGCACCGCCTGCTGCTTCCAGTGGTTGTGGCTTGTAAGATTGTGGTTCGGCTTGTTGTGGTTTGGAAGGTTGTAGCTCAGAAGGTTGTGGCTCGACAGGTTGTGGCTCGACAGGTTGTGGTTCGGCAGGTTGTGGTTTGGCAGGTTGTGGTTCGGCAGGTTGTGGTTCGACAGGTTGTGGTTCAGCAGGTTGTGGCTTGCAAGGCTCAAAGACGGGAGGATGCAGAAGGAGAATGCGCTTGCCGTGCCTGCAGAGGCGGTTCGGTGTGGGGGCAGTGGGGATGAAGAGGGCGTGAGGGTGAGAAGTGAAGGCAAGGGGATGTGTGCCACATGGAGCAAGCACAGGGGATGGGTGGCACATGGTGCAAGCACAGGGGATGGGTGGCACATGGTGCAAGCACAGGGGATGGGTGGCACATGGTGCAAGCACGCAGGGCATACAGGTGTATGGCGCAAGGAGTGAGCCTACAGTGATTGGCACGTGGAGGAAAGGGCCACCACACATGCACCACATGTCTCCCCTCAACGCACTCCCCTCACGGCACTCCCCTCACGGGCTCCACCCCTCAAGCGTCACTACAGTGAGCTCCAGAGCTGGGTCTCACATGTGTGCAGGTATGTTGGGGCCAATGAGGTGCACACACGTGTCCACTCCAGGCAGCAGCACTCTCAGCTCTGCCAGTGCTGCCGCCTCTTGAGCCTCCCTGTCCGCCCCTGCAGGTGCAGTGTGTGGTGAGAGGGAGTGCGTGGTGAGAGGTAGATAGAGCGTGTGGTGAGAGGCATGCCAGGCACCCTCTAGGTCCTCCCTGCCCACCCTTGCAGGTGCAGTGCTTGGTGAGAGGGATGATGAGAGGCAGGGTGATAGGGAGTGCGTGGTGAGCTGCATGCCAGCGTGGAGAGTGTAGTAGGTGGGTGGTGAGGGGGGTTCAGGAGGGGGAAGGAAGGCGAGGGGAAGTTGGGTGAAGCTGTGGGGAACATATCTCCGACAACTCAATAGTGTTCAGCTCGTGGCAACATTTATCAAAATGTTAAAACGAATAACACTTGCCCAGGTGACGTTGGTTTCGTGGTGTAGTTGGTTATCACGTGTAACATACTAAAGGTCTCCGGTTCAAGTTTGGGCGAAGCCATGATGAGGTATCTTTTGGAGATGCTTTCGCGAAAATTTCCACCACCCCCTCCTTACCTGCAAGCTTTGGCCTCCCAGCCTTGTCGTATTCCTTGCAATGACACCCTTTACTCAATGTCCCGACCTCATTTCTCTCCCCTTTCCCCCAAGCAGATCGTGAGGTGCTGGGAGACAACATACTGCATGGTAGGGCTGTGTTGTGGACTAAAAAATGGTGGTTGGCGTGGCGAGTGCCTGGCGCCTTATTAGGTGGTTATTGAGGTGTTCTATATATGAATTGAGGCCTGCCCGCCTAACTGCTTGCCTGCCTGCCTGCCGGCCTGCCAACTTGCCTGCCTGCATACCTGCCTGCCTATTTGCTTGCCTGCCTGCCTGCCTGCCTGCCTGCCTGCTTGCCTGCCTGCCTCCTGCTTGCTTGCCTGCCTGCCTGCTTGTTTGTCATGCAGGAGAGGCAGTCGGGGTTTGAAGTCACAGCCGCCCATGAGCGATCATGCATACACGCAAGTGTGATGGAGTGAGGCAAGGCAACCGATAGGGGAGGACCGATAGTGAGGCAAGGCAACCAGCAGCTGGTATAAATGGAGCTGCGATCGCACAGCCGGCAGCACACAGAGTGTAGTAGAAGGGAAGCAAGAAAGATGGATGATTGCTTGGCATATGTGGCTTAGAAACAGAGGAAAAGAGGGAGGGGGGGGGGGGGGGGGGGGGGTGGTTGATAATGGGCGCACGCGCACCGATGGATGCGCACCAATCACATGGATGTAGAGGGAGGGGCGAGAGGTCAGACCACGCCGCCAGCACTGCTGCTGCCCCTCTGCACATGCGCTCTCATCCGCTCCTCCTCTCTCCTCCCTCCCAGCTGCAATGCGTGAAGCCACGTCAGCCCCTGAGGGCACGTCAGCATCTGAAGGCGTGTGGCCCGGGACTTGAGCGGTGGAAGGGAGGAGCAGGTGGAGGGCGAGGAGGATGGTGAGTGGCTGGTGGGGAGGGGAATGGCCAAAGGAGGGTATTGGGGGTGGGGAGTGTGGTGGGGATAGTGAATGCGTGTCTCGTTGTTGAACAGAAGGAAATGAAGGAACGATTTTCTCTAAAGAGAGTCAAGGCAAAGGTCCCAGAATACTTACCCTACACACCACACCACACTGTACATCATACTCATACCTCACGCCCATACCTCACGCCCATACCCCATGCCCATACCCTACGCCTCATGCCCATTTGTTCCTCACATCCACACCGTGTGCAGCAGCAGTGCAGCGGGCGAGTGGAGGGGAAGGCCTCTCCAGAGGTAGTAGTGGCGCCAGGAGAGCGGGGAGAAGGGTAGAGGCGGGAGGGAGGGGGGCAGTGTGGGGTGAATGCGCGGGGGACTAGAGGGCGTGGGTGGGGGCGCAGCACAAGAGGCGGAGCGGGCAGATGGGCTGCTGGGCGAGAGTAGAGCAGGCGGGCCGTTGTCAGGCCGGCTCTCGTCAGTGGTGGTTGGAAGCTCAAGAGCGGAAGAGCAGCCTGCCGGGGCAGCACGGGAGATGAGAAAAGGGGAAGCAAAACTTGGGGTTTGAAAAGCGAGTATAATTGGGCAAGAGATTTGGCTGAGAGAGTAATAAGGGCAAAGGAAAAAAATGTAACGCAGTGGAGACAGGGAAGGGACCAACAGGGACCAACAGGGACCAACAGGGACCAATACTGGGAGAGTGGGAGAGAATGATAGAAGGTGGAGAGAGTGGAAAGGAGCCTTACGAACCGCAGAGGGCAGCGTAGGGACCACGGGCATGCAGGTGGAGTGAGGAAGGGAAGGAGCACATGGTGTGTCGCCCCTGCTCCACCTGCATCCCGCATGCAACCCACAGGCAGCCGGTGGAGAGGGTGGGAAGAGAGGCGGGAGATAGTGGAAGTGGCAAGGAGTACATGGTGGAGCGTGGGTATGCAGGTGGAGGGATGAGAGGTAGGAGCACATGGTGTGTCGCCCTTGTACAGGCATGGGCACATGATAGGCACATGTTCGGCACATGATAGGCACATGTTCGGCACATGATAGGCACATGTTCGGCACGTGATAGCTCTGATGTTGTCTTGCCTTGCCAACCTGATTTTACCATTGTTGTCAAACTTTCTCTAGTGAAACTCTTGCCAATTTGCCCCGTGAACTAGCAAGTAGTGTGTGCACTAGGAAACCGACTAAGGACCAACGAATGCAGAGATCATACGAGCACCCATGCCTAGCCTGTAGTCAAGCTCCCGTTGTAGTATTTATCTCCGCATAGTGCGGTGAGCGTGGACGGCACACGACTTACCTTTCAGTCAGGTCGACGTAGTGGTCACTTACCTAAGTTGCTCGTAGGCCGGCGGCCGTGCAGTCACTAGCATGCGCGTAGGTGACGCAGAGGTGATGGGCACCCTGGAGGCACGGCTGGAGGATGCGAGGAGACGCCATGAGGCCCAGGAGTACGGAGCGATACCCTGGGCGGTCGTCGAGGCTGAACTCCGCACCATGTGGGCGATGGAGCATCCCCCTTCTCGACCAGCTTCTCCTCGACCGGTGACCAACGAAGGCGGCGTCGACGTGGGAGTCAACGCCGGAGGTGGCCAAGTCGGCAGCTGTGCGGGAGGAACGTCGAGGCAGCGTGGTGTGATTCACGCCGACAAAGTCGGCGGCGTTCAGGCGCGAGGGGTGCAGTCGTCGGCGGCTGCTAGCTCCTCGCAGGGCGACGTCGGAGGACGACGAAGCGGATTCTCGCCGATGCCGGCGACCCAGGTGACAGCGAGCGGGATTGCGCCGAGCTACGGCTACTTCAAGTTTACGCCGGACAGGATCTTGGTCACCTCCCCTGCTGGTCGGTCGGCCTGACATCCTCACCTGGAAGGAGGCTATTGAGCCCCAACTCGAGATGGCCTGGCTGATTAACTTTGCCCGAGGCACCGTGGCGACGCCGGACGACCCCGACCTGCGTGCGGAGTTTCGCGCCGTGCAGCTGTTGACCTTCACAATCACATGATAGGCACGTGATAGGCATGTGATAGGCACATGACAGGCACATGACAGGCACAGGCACGTGATAGGCACACGATACGCACATAAACGGCCTGGGCCATGCCGATATGGAACGAGGTGGGGAAGACAAGGTGAGGCGTTGTGGTCATTGCAATGTCAGCAGATAAGCAGTGTGGCATGGAGATGATGATGGGCAGCACCGCACCGCACAGCACAGCACCGAACTGCACCACACTGCACCGCACCTGGATGACGGAGAGGTGCAGGAAGGGGAAGGGCAGGTCCAGCACAGCAGCACCGCACAGAACTGGACAGATACCGCACGCACCGCACCGCACCACACCACACCTGGATGACGGACTGGTGCAGGAAGGGGAAGGGCAGGGCCATGACAGCCGGTGCTCCCTGCAGCTGCAGTGAAAAGCGATGGCACTCACCCCCCTGCTCGTGCTGCCGCCAATGGGCTGCCTGAGGGAAAGCACGGGGAGTGGGGAAAAGGGGAAGGGGCATAGGGGATGAAGTATTAGGAAAGGGGATGAACCAGGCGAAAACACTCCCCCCCCCCCTGCGCGTGCTGCCGCCCGTAGGAAGCCTGAGGGGATGCATGGGGCACGGGTTAAGGGTATGAGGCATGGGTATGGGGCATCCAGCACAGCCGGTGCTCCCTGCAGCTGCAGCGCCAGGCGAGCGTGCTGCGCGCCGGTACTCCCCTCCCTGTGCGTGCTGCCGCCAGTGGGAAGCCTGAGGGGATTTCCCGTACGACATGCGGCATGGGGGATGGGAGTTGGGGCATGGGGCATGGGGGATTGGGAAAAGGAAGGACCGTTTGGGAAAGGAGGGGGCAAGTAGGAGAGCGAGAGGAGGAGAGGGGGGGAGAAGACAGGAGAGTAGAGGCGGAGAGGAGAGGGGGAGAGGAGATGGGGAAAGGAGAGGGAGAGGAGAGAGGAGGAAAGTGGAACAAGAGAGGGGCAGAGGAGGGGGAGTGAGGACAGGGGAAGAGGAAAAGGGCGGGGAAGAAGAGGTGGGGAAGAAGAGGTGGGGAGGAAGAGAGGGAGGAGAGGAGCGGGGGAGAGGGGGAGGAGAACTCAACAAGGCATCGCGGGTGAATCTGAGCCTCGCGTGACGAGGGCCTTGACGTTCGGCGGCACGGGCTGGGGAGCGAACGGAAGCGGCGGCTGGAAGCGGCGCGCGTGACATTTCGCGCTGCGCCAGCGAGCCCTGGTCACTGCTTGCTCGCCTCGCCTCACCTCCTCGCTACAGCGCGCACCCGGTGCTACGGCACGCACCTGGTGTCGTCTGCTACAGTAAATGACGACTCCGCATTCGCCACAACGAATTCGGCCGTCGCATGGCGACGCGCACACGTGGCACTGCCACGTCATCGCGACCGCAACTCAGAGAGGAGACAGCGCAGCAGTATGCAAGCGGCCGCAGCGCATGACGGCACTCTCGAGGATTCTCTAACACCAAACTAGTGAGGGAGCCTGTCGGTTTGCCTGTCACCGTAACCGGCGCAATAGCCACGCGAGAATTCAGTGGCGCGAAATCCCGCCAAAATGTTCCGAACCCTAGTCGCGTAAGCACTAGCTGCGCGCACACGCTGGCAGTGAGTGCGCGTGTGCGAGACTGCTAAAACGCGCGCGCAAAGGGGCGTGGCGGCAAACGGGCTGGCTGGCGCTGGCTGTCGGGGGACTATGGACGGAGGGTTTACAAGTAGCAATGTCGAGCGAGGAGGTATACTCTATACTGTGCACCTCACTATAGGCCAGCTGTTACGGGGTACTTTCCTGTTCAAGGGTAGTTTACTGTTTTGTCAATTCATTTCACAGCTGCCATGGCATGGCACCTGCTCATGCACTCAGCTCTGCAGCGCATGCATCAGCATGAGCACCAGTGGGTGCGGTGGGGAAGGTGAGAGTGAAGTAGAAACAGTTTGGCAGGGAGGGCAGGGCAAGGCTGGCCATGGGATGGGCGAAGGGCATGCGGAAGGGGTTCAGATGCACCTGCCAGGAGAGGGTGATAAGGGGGGACAATGGGAGGGATGCAGAGGGGCAACAGAGAGTGTGGTGAGAGAAGTGAGGCGTGGGGACGGTGAGAAAAGAGAAGAGCAGGGAGGGCAGGGCGAGGCTGGAATTGGGATGGGCGAAGGGCATGCGGATGCACCTGGGATGGGGTGGGGAGGGACAATGGGAGGAATGACGAGAGCGGTGAGGTGCGGTGAGGAACGATGAGAAGGACGGTGAGACGAGAGAAGAGAAAGGCAAGGAGGGCAGGGCGAGGCTGGCCATGGGATGGGCGAAGGGCATGCGGAAGGGGTTCAGCTGCACCTGGGATGGGGTGGGGCAATGGGAGGGATGCAGAAGAGGGGCAACTGAAGAGGTGGCGAGCAGGGGTGACGTTTCAGAAGAAAAGCACTCTGAAGGGGAGGACAAGAATAACTGGTTTGTCTGAAGGGGAGGACAAGAATAACTGTTTTGTCTGAAGGGGAGGACAAGAATAACTGTTTTGTCTGAAGGGGAGGACAAGAATAACTGTTTTGTCTGAAGGGGAGGACAAGAATAACTGTTTTGTCTGAAGGGGAGGACAAGAATAACTGTTTTGTCTGAAGGGGAGGACAAGAATAACTGTTTTGTCTGAAGGGGAGGACAAGAATAACTGTTTTGTCTGAAGGGGAGGACAAGAATAACTGTTTTGTCTGAAGGGGAGGACAAGAATAACTGTTTTGTCTGAAGGGGAGGACAAGAATAACTGTTTTGTCTGAAGGGGAGGACAAGAATAACTGTTTTGTCTGAAGGGGAGGACAAGAATAACTGTTTTGTCTGAAGGGGAGGACAAGAATAACTGTTTTGTCTGAAGGGGAGGACAAGAATAACTGTTTTGTCTGAAGGGGAGGACAAGAATAACTGTTTTGTCTGAAGGGGAGGACAAGAATAACTGTTTTGTCTGAAGGGGAGGACAAGAATAACTGTTTTGTCTGAAGGGGAGGACAAGAATAACTGTTTTGTCTGAAGGGGAGGACAAGAATAACTGTTTTGTCTGAAGGGGAGGACAAGAATAACTGGTTTGTCTGAAGGGGAGGACAAGAATAACTGTTTTGTCTGAAGGGGAGGACAAGAATAACTGTTTTGTCTGAAGGGGAGGACAAGAATAACTGTTTTGTCTGAAGGGGAGGACAAGAATAACTGTTTTGTCTGAAGGGGAGGACAAGAATAACTGTTTTGTCTGAAGGTTATTCTGCCAGGGTTTGACTAGTCTGCAAGTTCAAGTAAAAGCAGGTCTGAAGATTTAACAGTGGAGGGGCCACGGTAATTGAAAAGGGAGAAGTGAGAGCTTTTTGGAAGAGAGTGACGAGAGAAAACGTGTGATTCAGCTTGTGAGGAGTGACAAGAGAGTTGTGAAAGTGGGGAAGTTGTGAAAGTGGGGAAGTTGTGAAAGTGGGGAACTTGAGAAAGTGGGGAAGTTGTGAAAGTGGGGAAGTTGTGAAAGTGGGGAAGTTGTGAAAGTGGGGAAGTTGTGCAAGTGGGGAAGTTGTGCAAGTGGGGAAGTTGTGAAAGTGGGGAAGTTGTGAAACTGGGGAAGTTGTGAAAGTGGGGAAGTTGTGAAAGTGGGGAAGTTGTGAAAGTGGGGAAGTTGTGAAAGTGGGGAAGTTGTGAAAGTGGGGAAGTTGTGAAAGTGGGGAAGTTGTGAAAGTGGGGAAGTTGTGAAAGTGGGGAAGTTGTGACAGAAACTGTTGGAATGTGAGTAAGACAGGGGGTGTATGGTATGTGGCAGGGGAGAAGGGCGAAAGTGACCGAAAGTTTGGCTGCATGGGAGGAGCTTCGTGGAAACTACCAGCTGTCAGACATGGGACACTGCAGTATGCAAACTCAGTTATGCGATAGATGGAACTCAGAATACGTCAGTGTTCATAGTGGAATATATATTGCACTACAACCCATTTGCACCTCAGCAGCCAGCGAGCAGAGAGCCTCCCTGGCCTAACTGTTGTCTCCTTGAAGACCCCCTTACCTCGCTGATGACGGGTTGCAGTACCGTGCCCGCCGCATCCCCTCCCTCGCCACCCCTTTGCACCCCCCCTCTCTTGCCGCCTATTTGCACTCCCTCTCGTTCGCCCCCTCATTGCACGTCAGCAGCCAGCGAGCAGAGCGCCTCGCGGGCCATCTCTGCTGCCTCGTGGCTGTAGTCCGTGATGAGCGCTGGCCGCCCGTGCTGCAGCATGAGGACCTGGCAGGCGGTTAGGGGGGCGAGGCACGAAGGTCCAGTTGCACGTCAGCAGCCAGCGAGCAGAGCGCCTCGCGGGCTCTCTCTGCTGCCTCGTGGCTGTAGTCCGTGATCAGCGCTGGCAGCCCACAGCGCAGCATGAGGACCTGATGAGGCGGGGGAGGGCAGACGGACGAGGCATGAGGATCTAGCAAGGAGCTCTCTCTGCTGCCTCGTGGCTGAAGTCCGTGATGAGCGCTGGCAGCCTGTGCTGCAGCATGAGGACCTGGCCGGGGGGAGGGGGGCAGACAGACAAGGCATGAGGATCTAGCAAGGAGCTCTCTCTGCTGCCTCGAGCGAGACTGGAGCCCGTGATGAGCGCTGGCAGCCCCCACGCAGCATGAGGACTTGAGGGGAGGGTGACGAGGTAGCAGATGATGTGAGGGCTGGGAGGAAGGGGAGGGAGCACATGGTGCAGCCCGCAGTGATGCCTCGTGGCTGAAGTCCGTGATGAGCGCTGGCAGCCTGTGCTGCAGCATGAGGACCTGGCGGAGGGGGAGGGCAGACGGACGAGGCATGAGGGTCTATCAAGGAGCTCTCTCTGCTGGCTCGTGGCTGTAGCCTGTGATGAGCGCTGGCTGGCAGTCCACTGTGCAGCACGAGAACCTGATGGGAGAAGAGGGACGAGGCAGCACGGTGCTGTGAGTACTGGCTGTGCTGCCTCCCTGCCTCTCCGGCTTGTTGTGCTGCCTCGTGGCTGTAGACCATGATGAGTGCTGGCTGGCAACCCACTGTGCAGCACGAGGACCTGATGGGAGAAGAGGGACGAGGCAGCACGGTGCTGTGAGTACTGGCTGTGCTGCCTCCCTGCCTCTCCGGCTTGTTGTGCTGCCTCGTGGCTGTAGACCATGATGAGTGCTGGCTGGCAACCCACTGTGCAGCACGAGGACCTGATGGGAGAAGAGGGACGAGGCAGCACGGTGCTGTGAGTACTGGCTGTGCTGCCTCCCTGCCTCTCCGGCTTGTTGTGCTGCCTCGTGGCTGTAGACCATGATGAGTGCTGGCTGGCAGCCCACTGTGCAGCATGAGGACCTGAGGGGGGGGAGAAAACGGGCAGAGGGACAAGACGGGGCAGCGTGATGGAGTGGGTGGGGAGCGGAGTGGGAGGTGCAGCCCCCAGTCATGCCTTGTACCGCCTCCCTTTTTCCCCGGCTTGCTGTGCTGCCTCGTGGCTGTAGTCCGTGATGAGAGCTGGCAGCCCCCCACGCAGCATGAGGACCTGGTGGGGCGGAGAGGGCCGAGACATGAGGGTCTGGCAAGGAGCTCTCTCTGCTGCTGCCTGGTGGGTGAAATCTGTGACGAGTGCTGAAAGCACGTGCTGCAGCATGACGACCTGACGGGAGAGGAGAGGAGAGATGGAGCAGAGGGACAAGAGAAGGCAGCACGATAATGACCGGATGGGGAGGGAGCGGGTGGTGCAGCCCCTCCCTCCCCCTTTCCCATGCCTTGAGGCGCCTCCTGACTCTCTGGCTCGCTCTGCTGCCTCGTGGCTGAAGTCCGTGATGAGCGCTGGCAGCCTCTGGCGCAGCATGAGGGTCTGGTGGAAAGAGGGATGGGGCAGGACGGACTGGTTGTGCTTCCTGTGGCGCCTCCCTGCCTCCTTGCCCCCTTGGCTCTCTGTGCTTCGTCGTGGCTGTAGCCCGCGATGAGAGCTGGCAGCCCACCATGCAGCATGAGGGCGTGGGGGGGAAAAAGGTGGGGAGACAGGCGGGTAGCACGACGGTCTAGCAAGGAGCTCTCCCTGCTGCCTCGTGGCTGTGGGCCGTGATCAGTGCTGGCAACCCACCCCGCAGCTTGAGGGTTTGGTAGGGGCAGAAATGGGTAGGGTGGTGTGACTCTATTTTTGTTATCAATAACAGAGAGGGGGGGGGGTGGAGGCAGGGTGGTGTGATGTGAGGACTTGGAGGAAATGGGGGATTCAGTGCAGGCACCAGTCATCCCATGTTCACAGCACTGTACATTTGATACATTGAGGTGCCTGCCTCACCCCATTCCCCTCCTTCCACAGCTAACCGTGCATCCCACCCACCCAACCCCCCCCCTCCCCCCCCTCTTCCTCCCTCTTTTCCTCTCACCAGCGTGTCTCGCCAGGAAGGGAAGGCAGGCAGGCCCGCGTTGGGGAGGAAGAGCAGCGCAGGGCAGTGGCAGGACGGGTGGCAGGGCGGGTGGTGCGGATGGGATGACTGGTGGCGATGGGACAGCTGCTGCGGCTGGTCGCTGTGATGGAGAGGTGATGCGTGCTGCGAGTGGTGCAGTGAGGTGCAGGGGCACACTGCAGTAGTGGTGGGAGGGTTGGCGAGCTCAGAAGAATGGGGAGGAGCGAGTGGTGAGCAGGCAAGGGAGGGCAGCACGTGGTGGTAGAGGCCTCGGTGGAAGTGCACTGCCACGCCTGCTGCAATGCTTGCTGTTTCTGGTGGTTGTGGCTCGGCGAATTGTGGTTCGGCAGGTTGTGGTTCGACAGGTTGTGGCTCGGTTGGTTGTGGCTCGGCAGGTTGTGGTTCGGCAGGTTGTGGCTCGGCAGGTTGTGTCTCGGCAGGTTGTGGCTCGGCCGGTTGTGGCTCGAAAGGTTGTGGTTCGGCAGGTTGTGGTTGGGCAGGGTGTGGCTCGCAAGGCTCAAAGGCGGGAGGATGCTGTAGGAGAATGCGCTTGCCGTGCCTGCAGAGGAGGTGTGGTGCAGGGACAGCGGGGAGGTGTGGTCGAGGGGGCAGTGAGGAGGTGCGGTGTGGGGGCAGTGAGGAGGTGCGGTGTGGGGGCAGTGAGGATGACAGAGCATGTGAGGATGAGGAGTTAGGGCGTGGGGATGGGTGGCATGTGGAGCAAACACAGGGGATGGGTGGCACATGGAACATGCACAAGGTGCATACGGGTCACACATGCACCACGTGTCTCCCCTCAATGCACTCTTCTCAACTCACTCGCCCCAGCGCACTCCTCTCAACGCATTCCCCTCAATGCACTCCCCTCAACGCACTCTCTCTTCAATGCACTCCCCTCAAGCAACACTCCATTGAGCTCCAGAGCTGGGGCTTACATGTGCGTGGAAATGTTGGGGCCAATGAGGTGCACACACGTGTCCATTCCAGGCAGCAGCACTCTCAGCTCTGCCAGTGCTGCCGCCTCTTGAGCCTCCCTGTCCGCCCCTGCAGGTGCAGTGTGTGGTCAGAGGGAGTGCGTGGTAAGAGGTGCATGGTAGGCCGGGGGTGTAGTGGGTGGGTGGTGAGGGGTTCGGAAGGGGAGAGGGGTGGAAGAGAGGGAGAGGGGGTGAATCTGTGACACAGCTGTGGCACAACGATGGCTGATAATTCATCAACCTCCACCTCTGGTGGCACGCTAGAGTAAGGAAATAGTACTTCAATGATCATCCCTAAAACATTGGTTTCGTGGCGTAGTTGGTTATCACGTCAGTCTAACAAACTTAAGGTTTCCGGTTTAAGTCCGGGCGAAGCCATGACTTAGTTTTTACACTAGAAGCCACATGCCGCTTGAGCATGTTGCCCTCCCCCCCCCCCTTTGGTTGTTGATTCTCCAGCAAGCTCCAGCCTGAAATCCTTTTCAAAGTCCTTTCCTCAATGGCACGAATCCAATCCACTCCCCTACCCCCCAAGCAGCTCCTGAGGTGTTGGTTGGGAGGCAAGGGGCATGGTAGGGCTGTGGACTGGTGGAGCCTGGGGATTCTCCCCTTCAAGTTGGTGGTTGGTGTGGTGAGTACATGGGGAGTAATGCGGTTTTCATGAATGGTGGGTCTTCGCGTTGACCCACAGGAGCTTCTCTTCGCAATGGTGGTTGGCTTGGCATGGTGAGTGCATCGTGTGCCTGTTACTAGATGGCTGGGCTTGTGAATGGCGAATTTTCAGGTGGTTATTAATGTGGGCTACAATTAGATTGAGGCCTGCCCGCCTATCTGCCAGCCTGCCCGCCTGCCTGCTATCCTACCCGCCTACCTACCTGCCTGTCGTCGTGCCAGCCTGCCTGTTTGTCATGCAGTAGGGAGGGACGGTGGGGTTGTGAAGTCACATGCGCCCTTGTGCGAGCATGCATGCACACAAGTGTCACGGAGTGAGGCAAGATAACCGATAGAGGGTACAAATGGAGATGGGGGAGAAAGGAGAGTAGACACAGAGTTGACTTTTGAGTCGACTCAAAAGTCAACAGGGTACAAATGGAGATGGGTGAGAAAGGAGAGTAGACACAGAGTTGACTTTTGAGTCGACTCAAAAGTCAACAGGGTACAAATGGAGATGGGGGAGAAAGGAGAGTAGACACAGAGTTGACTTTTGAGTCGACTCAAAAGTCAACAGGGTACAAATGGAGATGGGGGAGAAAGGAGAGTAGACACAGAGTTGACTTTTGAGTCGACTCAAAAGTCAACAGGGTACAAATGGAGATGGGGGAGAAAGGAGAGTAGACACAGCCGGCAGCACACAGAGTTTAAAAAATGAGAAGGAAGCAAGATGGACGATTGCTTGGAATATGAGGCGTAGAAATAGAGAAAGGGAGGGCGATTGGAACACCCATGGATGCCCACCAAGCACGTGGATGCAGAGAGAGGGGCGAGTTCTCATCCCACACCGCTGGCACTGCTGCTGCCCCTCTGCACATCGGCTCTGATCCGCTTCCCCTCTCTGCTCCCTCCCAGCTGCAATGCCTGAAGGCGCGTCAGTCCCTGAGAACGCGTCAGCTTCTGAAGATGTGTGCCCCGGGAATTGATTGGTGACAGGGAGGGGAGGAGGAGGCGGTGGGACGGGCTGGAGAAGCAGGTGTAGGGCGAGGAGGATGGTGAGCGGCTGGTGGGGGGGGCACAGACGGGTGAGAGGGGGGGGATTGGGGCACAAGGAGTTTAGTGGTGGTGGTGTGGTGAATGCGTGTGCTATGAGGCTTGAGTGGTGGCAGGGAAAGCAAGAGGAGGTGGTGAGGGGGGGTGGAGGGGCAGGTGGAGGGCGAGCAGGATGGTGAGTGGATGGGGGGGGGGGGAATGTTGGGTGAGCGAAGGTAGTGGGGTGTGGTGGGGGTGGGGAGTGCGGTGGGGATAGTGCATGAATGAGTCGTCGTTGTATCCGTCCCTCTTGAAGAGAGGAAACATAAGGAACAACTTTCTTTGAAGCAAGACAGACAGAGAGAGGATTGCACATTGTTCACCCTACACACCATACCATACCTCACATACTCCCATCCTGTGTGCAGCAACTCGTACTATACTTCTATCAATGTACTTACCCAACACACCATACCATAACTCACACACCATATTCCATACCATACCCACACCTCACGCCCATGCCTCACGCCCACACCTCACGCCCACACCTCACGCCCACACCTCACGCCCACACCTCACGCCCACACCTCACGCCCACACCTCACGCCCACACCTCACGCCCATACCTCACACCATACCACACACCGTACCTCAAACCCATGCCTCATCCCATTTGTTCCTCACACCATACCGTGTGCAGCAGCAGAGCAGCGGGCGAGTGGAGGGGAAGGCCCCTCCAGAGGTAGTAGTGGCGCCAGGAGAGCAGAGAGAAGGGCAGAGGCGGGAGGGCGGGGAGCAGCGTGGGGTGACCCCGCAGGGCCATAGGGGTCGTGGGTGGGGACGCAGCACAAGAGGCGGAGTTGATTAATGGACTGCTGGGCGCGCGTGGAGCAGTCTGGCGCTCGTCAGTGGCGGGCAGAAGCTCTGGAAGGGGTGAGCAGCCTGCCAGGGCAGTGCGGGAGATGAGCAGAACAAGGGAAACAAATGCTGGGCTTGAGAAGCGACCATGACTTGGGCTGACCATGACTTGGGTGGCGGAATGAGGTTAAAAGCAATAGTCGTATTGAGGTAATGAAAAAGAGGGGTGACTGGAAGAAAATACGCAAACAGGATGTGATGTGAGGAGCGGGAGACAGGGGCCAAACGTGAGGGACTGGGGTAGGGTGGAGAGAATGGGAGACAGAGAGAGTGAGAAGGTGGAGAGAGTGAGAGAGTGGGAAGGAGTGGGTGCCTTACGGACCGCAGAGGGCAGCGTAGGGACCCCGGGCATGCAGGTGGAGGGATGAGAGGAAGGAGCACATGGTGTGTCGCCCCTGCTCCACCTGCACCCCGCTTGCAGCACACAGGCAAAGGGAAGGAGCATGCAAAAGGGCGGGGAGGGTGGGAGAGGGAGGGATTGGCACATGATAGGCACATGATGTGCACATGATGTGCAAATGATAGGCACATGATAGGCACATGATACGCACGTGATAGGCACATGATAGGCACGTGATAGGCACGTGATAGGCACATGATAGGCACGTGATAGGCACATGATAGGCACATGATAGGCACGTGATAGGCACATGATAGGCACGTGATAGGCACATGATAGGCACGTGATAGGCACGTGATAGGCACATGATAGGCACATGATAGGCACGTGATAGGCACGTGATAGCACATGATAGGCACATGATAGGCACATGATAGGCACATGATAGGCACATGATAGGCACATGATAGGCACGTGATAGGCACGTGATATGCACATGATAGGCACATGATAGGCACATGATAGGCACGTGATAGGCACATGATAGGCACATGATAGGCACGTGATAGGCACATGATAGGCACATGATAGGCACATGATAGGCACATGATAGGCACATGATAGGCACATGATAGGCACATGATAGGCACATGATAGGCACATGATAGGCACATGATAGGCACATGATAGGCACATGATAGGCACATGATAGGCACATGATAGGCACATGATAGGCACATGATAGGCACATGATAGGCACATGATAGGCACATGATAGGCACATGATAGGCACATGATAGGCACATGATAGGCACATGATAGGCACATGATAGGCACGTGATAGGCACATGATAGGCACATGATAGGCACGTGATAGGCACATGATAGGCACATGATAGGCACATGATAGGCACATGATAGGCACATGATAGGCACATGATAGGCACATGATAGGCACATGATAGGCACATGATAGGCACATGATAGGCACATGATAGGCACATGATAGGCACGTGATAGGCACATGATAGGCACATGATAGGCACATGATAGGCACATGATAGGCACATGATAGGCACATGATTGGCACATGATAGGCACATGATAGGCACATGATAGGCACGTGATAGGCACGTGATAGGCACATGATAGGCACATGATAGGCACATGATAGGCACATGATAGGCACATGATAGGCACATGATAGGCACATGATAGGCACATGATAGACGTGATAGGCACATGATAGACACATGATAGGCACATGATAGGCACATGATAGGCACATGATAGGCACATGATAGGCACATGATAGGCACATGATAGGCACGTGATAGGCACATGATAGGCACATGATTGGCACATGATAGGCACATGATAGGCACATGATAGGCACATGATAGGCACATGATAGGCATGGGCAATGCCACTGGGGAAGGAAGTAGGGAGACGAGGAGATTAAGCAGCGTGGGGAATTGTGGTCGTTGCATTGTGAACAGTGAAGTATCAAGAGTGCTATGATGGGCAGCACAGCACAGCACAGCACAGCACAGCACAGCACCGAACTGCACCTGGATGACGGACTTGTGCAGGAAGGGGAAGGGCAGGTCCAGCACAGCCGGTGCTCCCTGCAGCTGCAGTGAAAAGCGAGCACACTCCCCCTCCTGGGAGTGCTGCCGCCAGTGGGCCGCCTGAGGGGATGCATGATGTGTGGGGGAAGGGGGAATGGGAAACGGGAGACGAGAGATGGGGCACGAGGCATTGGGGATGGGATATGGGGCATGCGGATGGGGCGCGGGCATGGGTGATGGGGCATGGGGCATGGGGCATGGGGAATCGGCATGGGCATAGGGGATGGAGCACGGGGCATGGGGCATGGGGCATGGAATATGGGGCATGGGGGATGGGGCATGGGGGATTGGCATGGGGAGCGGGCATGGATGATGGGGTATGGGGCATAGGGAATCGGCATGGGCATAGGGGATGGAGCACCGGGCATGGGGCATGCAGATGGGAGATGGGGCATTAGGATGGGACGCAGCCATGGGGGATGGGGTGTGGGGCATGGGGCAACGGGAATGAGGCATGGGGCATGGGGTATGGGGCACGGTGAATGGGGCATGGGGCATGGGGGATGGGTGATGGGGGATTGGGGATGGGAGATGGGGCATGGGGGATGGAGTATGGCGGATGGGGCATGTGGCATTGGGCATGGGGCATGGGGCAACGGCACGGAGGCAGGGGGATGGGGCAAAGGAGGGACCGTTTGGGAGAAAGGGAGAGGAGAGGGGGAGAGAGGTGCGGGGCGGAGAAGATTGGAAGGGGGAGGGGGTGAGGAGGTGGGGAGGATGGGGAGGAGGAGACGGGTAAGGGGAAGGGCAGAGGAGAAAGCAACGAGGGCCGTGAGGACGCCACGTGTGTGCAACGAGGGCTTTGACGGGCATGGCAGTGAAGGACCAGGGGCTGGGGGCGAACGGGCGAATGGCGCGGCTGGTTCCGCGCAGCTGCGCAAGCCATCTCCCGCTGCGCCAGCGGGCCCTCGCCGCTGCTTGCTCTACGGCACGCACCTGGTGTCGCCTGCTACAGTAAATGACGACGCCGCACTCGCCGCAACGAATGCGGCCGTCGCATGGCGATGCGCACACGTGGCACTGCCACGTCATCGCAGAGCACTCAGAGTTGCGACAGCGCAGCGTAAAAGCGGTCGCAGCGCATGCCGCCACTCTTGAGAATTCTAGTGAAATAAACTACGGAGCGCAATTTGCCGTGACTGCCGCAAGCACTATGCGAGAATTTGGTGGAGCTCAGGTCGGGTCGCGGTTTTACGTACCCGGTTCGTTTAACACGGCCCAGTACGTTACTATCGACTCTAACCTTTTTATATCGCGTTTTAACGCACTGAAACTCGTTAAACGAATCAGCTAAATTAAAACGTGACCCGCCCTAAAATTCGCCCCGAGGTTCCGAACCCAAGATTTCCCACGTTTCATCCGAGTGCGTTACTTGTGTCACGTTGCTGTTGGCGGGTCACGCTGTTTCGACGTAAAGGGTACGACTCGGGTGGCATTGCGTCAGACAAATCTCACACAAGTTTTGAGATCAGCCAGTGTGAGTTACAAAATGGACCACGCGACATCGATTTTCTTTAGCGACAAGCCAGCCCCTCGCTGAATGGTTATGTGGTTCGTGTGAGTGTGCACCGCACCAAGGGTTCGCAAGAAGTGCTGTGGTGACGATGCGAACTGCGTTACGTCTCACCTGTCGCATGAGTGGGTGTTGAGGCTTCGCACACCTCGCATGCCATGCGATCAGGGTTTGGGGTTGAGACAAGTGATTTCCACTGGGGGTTACGCTGAACGGTAGGATTCATTTCTGTCGCACCGCACTAGGAAAGCGTGTATCACAAGGAATACACATGTGTACGGAGCAGGGGTGTTCATTCTTCCGTCCGTTTCAGTTGCATACAGTACAATGGCCCTGTTCTGTTGACGCACAACCAGATCGGGCCTCCCGCACAAGCACTGCGGAATGTGTTTTCCTCGAACGGGACAACCCCCCCGTGGCCTGAATCGCGGATTGCGCATCCAAGAAACATTCCACCCGACACAACATAGTAGTCACATTCAAAGCCTTCTCTCCCTGCTGACCTCCAATCAAGTGAAGCCAATACGAGGCCCTCTTGGGCTGGATTTCCAGCACCCATATTTCGGGCCGCTCTCGTCAAATACTATATTTACGTCGGGTGGTCGTCGTCGCACGGCTCGTCGGAGGCAGGACATTGTAGGCCGCAATGGTCGCCGCAGAACGCGGAGAGCTCGGCGACGCCGCGCCGCCGTCGCTGCAGCGCCTGTGCCTGCGGGCCGCCGTCAGCAGCGCCACGTGGCAGCGGCAGCCGCGGTCGATGGAGCGCCTGCCGTCCCCGCTGTCGTCGGCGCTGCTGGCGGAGCTGCTCGCCGTGGGACGTGTCACGCCGCCGCTGCTCGAGTACGCTGTGAGGCTTTGCGAGGCGAGCCTCTGCCTTTCCGCTCCGCACAAAGCCATTTATCCCCCCACCCCCCCCCTCCTACCTCATCCCGTAGCTCCCCTCGCCGACTACCTCCGAGGCTGCGAGATTGTGAGGCTGCGAGGCCCTCTGCCGCACGCTCACACGGTATCGTTCGTTCCCGCCCCTCCTCTCCGCATACGACGCGTGCCGCCGCCGCTGCTTGAGTACGCTGCGAGGCTGCGAGGCTCTGCTTTCTGCCCCTCCCCTCCTCGCAGCCTACCTCCGAGGCTGCGAGGCTCTCAGCGCGCTCACACAATACCCGTTCATGCCCTTCCCTCCCCTCCTCATACGCGACACGCCGCCGCTGCTCGAGTAAGCTGCGAGGCTAGATAACCGCTCATTCCTCCCCGCGTAGCCTTTTCTGCGAGGCTGCGAGGCCCCGCTCTCCGTCCCTGCACAGCACATTCATCCCTTCCCTCGCCTCCCTCCCTCGTCCCCTCCCCTCATCCCCTCCCCTCATCCCCTCCTCTCGTCCCCTCCCCCCAGGTTGTTCGCCCCCTCAGCGGACCACGTGGACCTCTCCTGCCCGCCTCTTGCCGCGCCCACCGTTCCGCACTCTCCAACAGCGCTGCACAACCCGCCTCCCCACGCCATGCCCACGTCTCCCGTCCCTCCCCCGTTCTCCCCCTCCCTCTCCTCACTCTCCTCGCTCCCACCTGCCCCCTATTACGGCATTCCGGACCCCTTGGAAGCCCTCGCTCCCTCGCCCCCTCTCTATGCCGTGCCACCTGGCCAATCCATAGACGCCACGTGGCTTGCCTACCTGCCAGACTTCCGCTGCCTTCGATACCTCCGGCTTGACAACTGTCGCCACGTCACCGACACTGCTCTCAGCATGCTCTCAGGTATCCCTCCCTCAGGTGTTTCTCGCAGGAATTCTTCCCGGCTCTCCGATATCCTGCATGTGCTGTCTCAGGTGCTCCCTCAGGTGCTCTTTCAGGTGCCCTCGCATATGCTCTCTCAGGTACCCTCTCAGGTTATCTGTCGGGTGCATACTCTGAGGTCCATTACAGTGGCACACCTTTCTTGTTTTGTCCTGATGCGACTCCCTTACTTCCCTCAACCCCTCATCCCCATCGTCCGCCCCATCCCCCAGTCTCCCCCGTTTCAGCGTCCCACACTCTCTCTCACTCCTTCCCAGCCTCTCTCCGCCCTCCTCCGCCCCTGTCCCCCCACTTCCAACCCCAACACTGCACGCCTTGTAGCCCCTGAGTCGCACCAACCGCTCTCCCTCATGTCCCTCTCACTTCTTCCCAACCTCTCCTCCCCTACCCCACCCTCATCCCCCTTTCGCCTTTTCCAACTCCCCACCTTCAGCGCCGGGCGCCCTGGAGCATCTGAGCCTCACCAACTGCCCTCTCCTCTTCCCTGCTCACCTCACTGGTCCTTGCACTCCTTTCCAACCTCTCTTTTCCTTTTCCCACCTTCCCTCCCCACCACCCCCCAGCACTGCACGCATTGGAGCATCTGAGCCTCACCAACTGCCCTCTCCTCACCGCCACCTCATGCCTCTCTCACTCCTTTCCAGATTTTATTTCCCCTTCTGCACCTCCCTTTCTTCCTCCCCCCACTCCCCCCGCTCCCCCCAGGTTTGCAAGCGTTGGAGCATCTGAGCCTCACCAACTGCCCTCTCCTCACCGCCACTTCTCTCGCCGCCATCCTGCCGCCCTGTCTGCCCGCCCTGCGCTCCTGCTGCCTCTCCGGCACCGCCGTTGGCATGGGCGAGGGAGGGGCTGGGGGAGGCGGCGGGGCAAGAGAGGAATGGGGCGTGGCAGTGAAGGGCAGGCGGAGAAACAAGGGGAGCAGGACTAGTGGCGGTGTTGGTGGTGGTGGTGGCAGCATGGCAGCACCTGCTGCGTTTGACACACCACCCGCTTCCTCCAACTCTCCACCTGCTGTTTCCAGCGCAGCAGAGTTCTCAGCCTGTGTGCCTGCAGCAGCCCCATCGGTGATCTCTCTGCTCGCCCGCGCCCCTCACCTCACTCATCTGGAGCTGGGCGGCATGCACCATGCCCTGGACGATAACGCCTTTCAGAAACTCACGGTGGGTGGGAATGTGCCTTGTGCCAACAGCCATTTGCCATGTGCTATGCTCGTTCACATGCTTTAGCATGCCTCCTCCTCACCTCACGCACCTGGAGCTGGGCGGCATGCACCACGCTTTGGACTTGCGCCATGCGTCATGTGTCACGTGTCATGCGCCATGTGCCATGCGCCATGCGTCACGTGTCATGCGCCATGTGCCATGTGCCATGTCTCATGTACCATGCGCCATGTACCATGCGCCATGCGCCATGCGCCATGTGCAGTGTGCCATCCTCCACACCCCATGCGCTGTGCTCCCAATCTGCCTCATCTCTCAATCATGCGTGCATCAAGCAGTCGCCCAAGCGGTTCTTCTCTTTCCGCCGTTTCCCCGCTTCCCCAATCCCTCACCCTCCACCACCTCCCTGCCCCAGTCGCTGGTCCACTTGCGCCATCTGTCAGTGTGGGGCAGCAGCATCACCAACGCCTCTGCCCCTCTGCTGATCGCCTTCCCCCGCCTGCTCTCCGCCAATCTCGCCTGGACCGCCCTCTCCCACCTCCCCGCCCACCCCTCCCTCACCGCCCTCCACCTCTCCCACTGCCCCCTCCTTTTGATCGGCTTCCCTCTCCCCTCCTCCTCATCCTCTCCCTCCTCTCCCTCCTCCCCACTCACTCATCTCGTTCTCTCTGGTGCCTCCATCGCTCCTCCCTCCTCCCTCTTCCCTCCTCACCTCCTCGCCTCCCTCACTCACCTCGACCTCTCCTATTCACGCGGCGCCACACTCCCTCCTCCCCACCACTTTCCACCGCACTACACTCCTCCCCTACGCCCTCACACCCCTCCCTGCGGGCTGCAGTGGCTACAAGCAGCACTCTCCCTCACACACCTCGATCTCTCCGCTGCTGCTGTCTCTGACGCCCTTCTGTTACACCTCACTCACTCCCTCCCCAACACTGTCAGTACCCCTTCCAGCTCTCTTCCCTGTCCCTGCTCTCTCCCCCATCCTTGCTCTCTCCCCCATCCTTGCTCTCTCCCCCATCCTTGCTCTCTCCCCCATCCTTGCTCTCTCCCCCATCCTTGCTCTCTCCCCCATCCTTGCTCTCTCCCCCATCCTTGCTCTCTCCCCCATCCTTGCTCTCTCCCCCATCCTTGCTCTCTCCCCCATCCTTGCTCTCTCCCCCATCCTTGCTCTCTCCCCCATCCTTGCTCTATCCTCATCCCTGCTCTCTTCTTCCTTTTCCTGCACCTCACCCACTCCCTCCCTCCCCTACACGGTCAGCTCTTACCCATCCCTGCTCCTTCCCTACGTTCTCCTCTCCGTTGCTTCCTCCTACCCTCTTCTGCTGCACCTCATCCACTCACTATCACCCACTTTCATTCTGATCTGCTTGATTGCGCTTTCCACCTTCATGTGTTCGCTGCATCAGACTGAATGCGCATGTGCTCCTTCCGTCCCCCAATTACAGTCGATGTCACAAGGCATCACCACCACCGCCACCGCCACCAGCACTACCACCAGCAACAGCAGCAGCAGTACCACCACCACCACACTTCCTCCTCCTCCTCCTCCTCACCACGCCTTCCCCTGGCAGCACCTGTCCCTGGCCTCCTCCCCTGACCTCTCCTCCAGGGGGCTGGCCGCCCTGCTGCCTCTCACCCCGCGCCTCACCTCGCTCTCCCTCGCCCACACCGCTGCCTCCAACGCCTGCCTGCCCCTCCTCGCCTCCCTGCCGCTCCTCTCCTCCCTCTGCCTCGATGGCTGTTTCATCTCAGGTGCGCTCATGCGCACCACCCGATCCTACATCGGTTTGTTTTCCCAATAGCATTTTCTGGGTCTGTTGATGTGGATGGAGTGTCCTCTATGACACAACATCAATGGCGTTTGGTTGTGATTAATTGACTGTGCCTCCATGCCTCCATGCCTCCATGCCTCCATGCCTCCATGTATGACTGCAGGTGGGACATCGGATGATAACGTGGAGGATGACGAGGAGGAGGAGGACGAGGAGGAGTCTCTCCTCAGGCTCCACCTCGCACACCTGCACGCAGCAGCACCACCACCACCAGCCTCTGCAGCAGCAGCAGCAGCGGCGGCGGCAGCAGCAGCAGCAGTTGGTGGTGCTGGTGCCGGTGGCAGTGGCAATGCATATGCTGCGTTTTCCAATGGCATGGAACGGCAGTCAGCCATGGCAGAGGGCGGGTTGGCCGTGCTCGCCTCGCTGCCACACCTCACCTCCCTCAGCCTGCATGACACACCTCTATCCACACACGGCATGCTGCGACTGCGCCATCTCACTCACCTGCACCACCTCTCCCTCTCCTCCACTGCCCTCAGCCCCCGCCGCTTCCTCTCCCTCCTAGGTAACCCCCCCACCCCCTTCACCATCCCAAATTGAGTGCCTTTTGATTCAAACTTGCAGCTATATTGTGCAACCAGCCTCCCCATTCTCCTCTCATTCTTCGCTCAATATTTTTCTCATTCTCGCCTCATCCTTTGCGCAATCTCCTTGTTTTTCTCTCGATTCATTGCTCTTTTTGAGTGCTGTCTCACAGTTACCTTGTTTTTCTCCCCTTCCGCTTTCGCCCATGAGACAGCTTTCTGTCCCTGCCACCACCTGCGCCTCTCCTCGCCGCACATCACCGCACTCCACCTCTCCTCCCTCCGCCTGCACCCCTCGGTCCGCCTCCTCGACGCCTCCCTCCTCCTTTCCTTCTCTGCCCCACACGCCATGGCTCTCGCCAATCAGCTCGCGCCACGTGTCACCGTCCTACACGCATCTGACAGCTGTCGCAGCCCAGGGGAATGGATGCTGCAGCAGCGGGCAGAGGAGAGAAAGGGAGCACGGAGGGAAGGAGGAAAGCAGAGGACGGGGAGAAACGGGACCATGGAGAGCGGAAAGGAGGGAGGGGTGGAGGGAGGGGAGGGGATGGAGGGGCAGCAGATGGAAGGAAGGCCGATGGGGAGAGGGTCAGGTGGCAGTGATGGGGAAAAGGAGCAGAGGGGCCAGCATGGGAGCAGCCAGATTGAGAACTCTTGTGCGATCCTGAGCAGAGCAGGTGATTTTCGGGGCCAGTGGGAATGCAGAAGAGTGGGAAGGAATGCATTTAGCAACAGTGTATCATGGGAGCTTTCAGTTGCCAGGTGAAGTTCCAGTAGCTGAGAGGGAATTTTTAGTTGCCCAGGTGAAGTTTTAGCAGCCGAGAAGGAACTTTCAGTTGCCCAGGTTAAGTTTCAGAAGCCGAGAAGGAACTTTCAGTTGCCCAGGTGAAGTTTCAGTACTGTGGCTAGTGCATGCGTGAGGAAGGTGAGGGTGATATCGAACAGGGAAGTGACAGGCTAAGCCATAGCTTTCATGCTTCACCGTTCCCCTCCATCCCTGCACATGATCTCACACAGTGCACTCTCCAGGCCTTCCGTGCCCTCATGACTTTTGAGTCGACTCAAAAGTGCTTTGCCGTTCCCCTCCACCTTTGCGCATGGTCTCTCACAGTACACTTTCCAGGCCTTGCATGCCCTCTCGGGAGAATTTGAGGCATTTTTGAGAATTCTTAAAGGTAACCCTGGTTACCTCGTGTATCCTCACTCCCTTGCTGCCACTACTAGCTTGTCAGACTCTTTCACCTCCCCCACCCAACCCTAGCAGATGAGAGGCGCAAATTCACCCCGGCTGAGCTCAAGTCGTTGCGAGGTCGTGCCCAGGCGCTGCAGCTGCCTGTAGCGTTGCCAGCGCACCTCACCCGCAAGCAAGCGTGGTAGAGGTCTATTCATTTCATTGATCTGGGGCAGTGTTGCCAGGTGGAGCCGTGTGGATGGGAGATGTTGTGATGTTGCTATGCAGATGAGGAGTCACGTTTTTCTATGTGGTAGTCTCAAAACACTCTAGGGTGCACTATCGGGGGAAAGTGTATAGCACCCTATGTGTATTTATGTTTTTCGATACCGTAAAAAAAAATGATGTTTCCTTGCACACTGCACCATTGCCAGGCTAGGATGACTTATGAGCACATTATTTCAACATGAATCTGTGCTGGGTGTGGATTGGTGTTGTCTACGTACGTATAAAACCCTTGTTCTGAACACAGCATATTGTTTTCTACTTGGCCCAGCGGCTTACCACGAGGCAAAGGGGCATGGTTCATAAATGGCCACGAGGTGGTCACTGGCCCTTTTCTACTTGGCCCTGAGTAGGCTTCCAATTATAGAATCCCCCCTTGTTTGTGGATTTTGTTCTCTGTTGGTGCAACTCCATGATTTGTACTTGAGTTGTACTTATCCTTGTGCGTTTGCATCCCAAGTCCCTTCTACATACCAGCAGCAAACGGCATGTCCGCACACAAGCAATCTGCCATCTGTGAGATGAGAGACCACATTCACGATGTCCTCACCCACTTCGACGCTTCAGCGCGCACTCATCTTCCCATTTATTTCACACTTCCTCTATTGTCAACCACAACTCAACAATGCAAATCCAGTATGATATACATAACAAGGACTATTTAGCCATAGTGTATGATGTATCTGACAGCAAGCACCCTGTAGGATGATTCAGCAGCTAGTGAGTGCCGTACGCCTATGACACACTAGTGTGTGCCGTACGTCTATGTCACGCTGGTTGCGGAGTCACTCTGCATGCCCTCTTGCTCTGCACGGGCCATTTCAGCAGTGAAGCTGGAGGAGCCAATAAAACTCCCACTCTCCATGTTGATGCGAGACATGGCATCGCCCACATGTGCTCCGAACGCCTCTTGCTTCAATTTCACCAGCTCTCCCAGCACTTGATTCATGGAGGGGCGGGTGACTGCAGGCATGGCGGTGCAGGAGAGCGCAAGGCGAGCCCAGCGCAGCACCAAGTCGTCTGGTGCGTCTAAGTATGGGTCCTTGAACATTGTTACGGCATCTGACTCCACGAACGGGGCGATCTGTTGGGTTCAAATTGAACACACCCATGCGGATATATGCTTGAATGACCAATGCTCTACCATGCTAATGGATCAAGCATTGAGCAGTAGTCATGCGGTTTTTTCTCAAAGGATCTAGGGAGTAAGTTTGTGCCTAGCAACTGTGGCTCACCCATTGCCTCAGGCTGATCTGGCTGGTCTCGCTCACATGCACAGCCTTGCGTGCTGAGATGACCACCAGCATCACCACACCAAAGCTGCCACCACCAGACCAGCGACAGAAACAAGGGGACCAGAATGGAGGGTGATGAGGGGCATTTGAATGAAGTGTGCCATGCCAACCTGCATAAAACACGTGTTTATCCCCTCAAAGCAAGGCACATCTTTGTGCTCACCTGTACACATCTGCTGCTGGAGTAGCCTTGTGAGACTTGTAGTAGGCAGGGTCCACATAGCCCGGTGTTCCCATCACTCGAGTGGCAGCCACAGACATGCCCATAGCAGTGGTCTCAGTGAGTTTCACCAGTCCAAAGTCTGCAATCTTGGCCTGGACAACAATCACAAGTGCATGTTAAGAATGTAGGCAAAGTCAGGTAGACAGTCAATACTGTTCTTTGAAAAATCAGAGCATGATATGAGAACAGAAATAACTCAGATATTTCAAACGGAAGAATATCTGAAGTGGATGTTATGACAGACCTGCATTTTTGCACCAAGGAGAATATTGGCTGGCTTGATGTCGCGATGCACAATGCCAAAGTCATGAAGATATTGCAGCCCCTTTGCCACTCCAATCAAAACATCCAGTCGTTGCAACAGAGAGAGGTGGCTTGGAGCTCCTAAGAAAAGGTATTTGAAGAAATATTTGCAATAGAAATGCAGGGCACAAGACACGCGGACAATAAAAAAAGGGCATGGTGGAAGCTGCAGGTCACAAGGCGGCGAGTCTAGCCATTCAAATAAATTTTCTATCCAAACTCACTTTAGATACAAATATGTGTTCCACTTAAAATGGTTATTGAAGGGAGCAATATAAAATCCATCAGAATCAAAATGAAGTTAGATTACCTGGTCAAATCCAGCTCCCCAAGTCCCGGTTCGCCATGAACCCATACACGAGCACCTGTTCTACGTTAAGGGCTACTGAAGGTTGAAAAGGAAAATCTTTCAAGTTTAGGGGCAAGACAGCTTACTTGGTTCAATCCAGGTCTCCAAGTCTCGGTTCGCCATGAACTCATACACGAGCACTTGCTCAATCCTGCCCGTGCTTGAATCGTAGTTCGCACAGAAGCCCAGCAGGCGCACCAGGTTGGGGTGGTGCTTGCTGGCCATCTCCTTCACCTGTGAGATACAAAAACGTATCATGATTGGCCAAGATGAAACGAGTGTATGTGTGTGTGTGTGTGTGTGTGTGTGTGTGTGTGTGCGTGTGTGTTTTTGTGTGTGTGTGTGTTGAAATGGATGTAACTATCTGACTCCTATGTGAAGCTAAAATCTGCGCAATCGGAGTGTGTCACCTCAGTGAGGAAGTGATTGGAGAGAACTCTAGAGCGCTTCACAGCCCACATCGCATTCGGATCATGCAGCGACACACCCTTGTACACATCCCCAAAGCTGCCACTGCCAATCCTATTCCCTTCTGCCCACTCTCCCGTTGCTCTTGCAAGCTCTTCTAGAGTGAACTTATGGCACACATGTGGCGTCACTGCCTCCATCTCCTCCACCAGGTTTCTCTGCTTCTCCTGTGCTGCTGCACCCGCTGCCACAACCGCCGCTGCAGCAGCAGCTGCAGCGCTTGCTTCCGGGTCCCTCTCCACTGCTCTGGATGCTGCGTTTGAATAATCAGTTTCAGAGTCTGTGAGAAGTTGTGAAGGTGGAAGTAAGATGAAGATGAGAAAATTAAAGTGGATGAGAAACCGGAAAGGAAGGTCCGGGATGGTGGAGGTTTCCAGGCAGTGTGGATTGGAGATATCTTACCTTGGAATGCACTTTCTTCTGCCAAATTCTTTCCAACCACATCAGTGTCAGTGTCACCTCCTCCTGCTGCCCCTTTGGTGCGGCATCGCTTCCACAGCAACCAGCTCAGCAGCAGCAGCAGCGTGAGGACAGCCATACCCGCAGCAACAGCAATGCCAGCAATGGTTCCGTTGGATAGACCGCTTCCAGACTGGGATGGAGAGGCTGATGGTGTTGGCACTGGCGATGGAGAGGGTATGAAATCTGAGTAGGAAGAAGGAGATGCCGAAGGGAGAAGGAGGTTAGATATGGGGTTGGCGAAATGGGATGTGGGACAAGGAACAGTTTGCTCGGGAAGAGGAAGCAAAGGCTGAAACAAATGCTCTTCTTTAAGCATGAGCAAATTCTATTCACCAAGATGGATGGGTAGTTGTGAGCATTGCATGATGTGAGGATTAGCTGGGCTGTGAATGCTTGACGTTGGAAAATCTTGTTAGGTTTCATGCAACACAGTGCCTACGCACTCAGCACTATTGAGAGCAAAGAAATCAAAGGTAGTATGAATTGCAGCCACCAGCATTGGGAGATTGCATCACCTCGTTGTGGCTTGTCACACGTGATGCAAAATGAGTCACAGTGCCTGCAGAAAGCACTGGAAGCATTCTGTGGGACCATGCAGCTGCTGTAGTCAGGAGGGCATGTGATTGCAGTCGAAGATATGTACCTGCACATCCACAGGGAGCGTTATCAAGCTATGGATCAAAGGCCTGTTTTAGCTCTGAGGTTGCTATTTGAGACGTATGGCAACACATTGCCATATTCCACTATCCCAATTTGTCTTATAGGATGAAAATACAGGTGAAGCATACTTTGGGTTTCTATTTTTTGCTATAGAAATTGACTTGACTTGGATCAGTGCAGTTCAATAACTTTTGGGCCAAAGAGGATTGGGCCGAGTCAGTCCATGTGCGGCCCATGGCACCTGTGGCTGCAATGGAACTTGGGCTATGGGGCTGAATACGTCAATCTGACTATGATACATTTGCAACACTTAAATATTATAAGAAGCCTTACAAGGATGGAAGCCGACTGAGATTGCCTATTGTTGGGGGGAGTTCACCAGTGAGGTTGTTCCAACTGACATCACTGCAATGAAAATGGCAGAGATTGGATAGAAACCCGTCTAGAGCATCGCAAACACATGATGGTGCGTACATGCTGGAGGTTTGATGTGTATAGACACCAAGGAATGAACCCAAAAAATGGTAAAAGGTTGGAGAAATTGGGGGACGGATATCAGAAGCCGCGGTATGTCAACGTAGGATTGTGGCAGGATCCTATGCGGCAATCTCATGCTGACATGAGTAAAATTTATACGGTCAATCGAATGCCCCGGTCGGGTCGACTCAACCTGACCCAACCCGGATTTTGCTCAGATTAGGTCACCCCACCAAGATAGTTAGCGGATCAACAACTTGAACCGGACCAGACTAATCTTGGCCGTTGGTACCTTCTATAGCTCCTATCTATGGTTGAACTAGAACTTTGGTTATGTCACACCAGGTGGAACGTCTTTGTACCTAGTAGTATGCCTCAATTTCATGAAACGCTTTATTGTATACATTTATTAACATGATAAGACGCCTTACAGGTGTGAAAGACGAGTAAGATGGCCTATTGCTGGAGGAATTTGGCCACTGAGGTTGTTTTGACTTACATCGCTGCATTGAAAACGGAAGTTAATAGTGGGAATGGACCCAGTTAATGCACTGCTAACAAGATTCCACATGGCGTTTCCATGCCCGAGGTTTTATGTGTACAGAGATGATATCACGCATTCACAAACGGCTGAGAGGAAGCAAGATTGGCCTGTGGTGACTGCGAGACAAGAGGAGAAAAACAGGTTTGGCACTAGGAAGTCTGAATACGGAAATGAATTAGTTGGTATAGGAAAATGGAAATACAGATCTGATACTCGCACAGAGAAGAACTGAAGGAATTGAGGAGAGAATAAGGTATACGCAATCTGCCCCAAACAGGGCAGCCCTTCGGGGCATGGGTAGTACTTATCAGTGTTGAATGCTGTATTTTCTCGCTTGCATTTCTGTTTTCACATGACATTGGATCTCGAGTCGTGCCATCAAGGATGCTCTTCATGTTGGGTGCAAAACGTATTTTGCACGTCAACCTGTCACCTATTCGTCGAGCAAGGTGACATTTGAAGTATTTTGTCTTGAGGTAATTTGTGGTTTGTTTGATGCGCATTTTTGTGCTTTTCATGTTGGCGTTTACGGTTCATGAATCGCCTTAGCGGTTCATAAGTTATGTCTGTTTCTGTGATGTTGCATTCATGAGCGTTCATGACTGTTCGCGTGTGTTTCGTGAGTGCATGCAAGGAGTTTCGGATTTTCCTGAGTGTTCATGGTGTTTCATGAAGTTCCGAATATCCATGAGAGTTCATGGAACTTCGCGTCTTGTTATTGAGTGTTCGCGTGCTGTTCGTGTACGTTCATGAGCGATCATGTACGATCATGTACGATCATGTTCGTTCATGACTGTTTGCGTTTTCTGTCATGATTTTTCATGTGTGTTTAGTTGAGTTGCGAGTGTTTTTGCTGCTGGGATATTTTCGCGTCAGTCAAGGTAAAGTGGCGCGAGAATCAGGACCCACGCGTGGGGTCCAGATTTTGCGCGTGTCTCTCAGGGCTCGCGCGTGTGCCGTGGCACTGTTGCGAGCATGGCAGGGCCCATGATCGCAACAAGACAGGGCGAATGATCGCCATGTCCATGCGCAGGACAGCGCACGTCCGCGCACTGTACAGCACGACCGAAATATCGGTCGTGCATGATTACGGTCAAGAAGTGCTCGGGATTTCAGTTGAAAACCCGAATCCCGCGTTGACTCGGCGAACAGATAATTTCGCCAGAAATGTCGCGCGCATAACGTGACAATCTCGATACAGGGAAGAAACGGTGAAAATCGTTTTGTAACTGTAAAAACCTTGGGAAAACGGTAATCCCACACGAGGAAGCATGATTCGACATGTGCGTTCATGATCATTCGTGAGCATGGTCAGCAGGGGCATTTAGCAGACATGATATTTGAAGACAGTTATTCTACAGAAGCGAGCCGAGCCAAATTTTGCAGCAGTTGGACAACCGTTTTCCTTTGCACATCTGGCGAAGCCTTGAAGTCAGTTAAACAACTGCTTTGTGTTTCCTTTGTGTGTGCGTAGGCTCTGATATTAAATGTGTGCTTGTGTGAAGTTGTAATCAATCTTTTGGTGAATGAAAATTGCTCTATCGACGTATTGACGCGAGGAGCCATTCTGCACATGCACATATCGATCGTCTAACGCTGCGCAATTGAGCTTGGGAATGCTCTTAGTGCACACGACCATTTTAACACTAAGGAAAATCCCTCTACAAATACAGACTCTTGGTTAGGGGCTGGCGTTGCTAGGCACCCGAGGACCCTTGGAGGTGACCGTGACCCCGTGGGGACTACCTAGAGTGTATCAAAGGTGTGCTTAAGGGTTTCTAGATCCCAATAGTAGTCAACACTTCAGTGGGTAAAACCAACTCAAGCAAGCACGAGTGAGTGAGGATATTGGGGGTCTTGCTAGCAGGCAAAACAGTGAGCCTGCCAAGCTAACACCTCAGTAGCATTGTAGAGCCTAGGAGCAGAGGCTTCTAGGACATACTAAGAGTTTTTAAATAGGCCAAGATGCCTTACAGATGTGAAAGAAGAGTGAGACGGCCGAATTCTGGAGAGATCTGGCTATTGACATCACAAAAATGTGTGCGTCTGGAAATCATCTGACCATTTTTTTTTAAGCAAGCTTTAGAAAATCGTTTGACAATCATCCAGGAATCATTTACGAATCGTTTGTATTGCATTCTTGTCGGACCAAACGTTTTGGTGATGTCTTAGTAACGGTTTCGCGGTGTTACAATGGAATGTTTGTTAGATGTTAATTGTTCAGACAATAATAAGGTGGCTTAAAAGCGTGTTTCACAATCAATGAAGGTTATGGTAAATTGACATAGTTGCTACTTTATTTGCATCACCAGATGAACCTATTGAGCAGCTTCACAGCAGGGTCTTTGCAGCACGGGACAACATGCACGATGCTAAGAATGCAATCTGCATCTACAACTGCATAATTGAAGGTGCCCTTCGTGGGCAACAGTCGTTTGCAGCCAGTGTACCGGCAGACTCGCCGATCCTCCGTGTAGTACTCGATGTAGGCGGCTTTTTTTGCCATGCCATCTTTCACGTAATGGAACAGCATCAAGCAGCGGCCGTACCAGTTGGCCCCTTTGCCAGCTGGATTTATGGCTACATCTGAAAAGTGCCTGTCGGAAGGGCTTGCTTTGACAAACTGGCCCTTCTCGGTCCACTCCAT